ATAACGAAGAAGTGGGCTGTAGTCCACGAAAGCTTATGCTCTAATAAATTTGTTAGTCTCTAAGGTGCCACAAGTACTCCTGTTCTTTTTTTTCTTAAAATAAGATGAGCATTAAGTTTGAACGTCAGGAAGCTGGGACTGTCACAGTTTGCTCATTTCTACACATGCAAATGAGGTCAGTCTAATATGGCTTCTATAGCGTGAATTTCTGCTAGATTTAGGTGGGGGAAATAATTTTTGTAAAGGAAACCCTGCAAAAAGTCCCTCTTTATCTGGGGATTCAAACATTACATATTCTGTACATTCTACACCCCAGAACCGATGATTACACTCTGTTGACAGATATATATTGGGGCCATCATCCCACTGGGAGCAGCAGAGAAAGATGGCCGACTCCGAGCTGCTGATGAGCTGATGTGCATTGACGGAATCTCTGTCAAAGGGAAATCACACAAACAGGTCCTGGACTTGATGACCGGTGCTGCGCGGAATGGCCAGGTGCTGCTCACTGTCCGGAGGAAGATCTTCTTTGGCGGTATGTGCCAGGTGTCCAGATTAAACCCAGTCCCACTAGGTTTGCCAGAGTCTGGTAGCATGGCCTTTGGAGTCCTTGTTCCTGGACTTAGTGTAAAGGAATGTTTCCACGGCCATAATCAGATGATATAAAGCGGTACAGTAACAGAACTACTAGTACATCAGGAATGATGTGAACTCGGGGTCAGCTCCACTTCTGGATGAATAGGGTAACACAAAATTGTATCAAGCAGATGTTCTTGGAGGGAAGAGAATGGGATAAAAAAGGGGGCACCCATTTGTGCTGCGGCTCTGGAAAGCACTGTAATAGTGATGCTCTCTTGTTCTATAGTGCTTTTCATTGGAGGATCTGAAAGCACTTTACAAGCATTCGTTATTAAAGCCACTCATGGCTCTGTGTACTCTGGGCAGTAACACAAACCTTTTTTCTGCATTACAACACTACATTCTGAGGTTTGTTAGAATTTGTGCAGCAGGTTTAAGTGCATTATTTAATTAAATGCAGAAATTAATGTTATAATCAGATCAGCATTCTGTAGGCAGTTCAGTGGCAATGGAATTTACAGATATGGAAACTGAGGTACAGAAGGGTTGTCATGCAGCTGAGATGTCACTAACCACATCGGTGACAGAACTGAAAACAGAACCCAGGAGTCCTGGCTTGCAATCTCCTGTTCTCATTAGTAAACCCCACTGCCTTTCATGGGTCTTTCAGTCAAGATAACTAGAACCATTCCTTATAAACTGAGAAAAAATAGGAAGTGTATCACTTTCAGAACATCTTCGCTTTCACTGTCATGCAAATGGCAGGCAGCATGGCCTAGTGGGCCAAGTATGAGTCTCTGAGCCTGGAAGGTCCTAAATTCTAATTCCAGGCTGGTCGCTGACACACTGTGCAGTCTTTGACAAATCAAGTGACTTCTGTGTCACTGTCCGTAAAATGGGGATGATATCTACCTACCTCACAGGGGTGTTAGTGGTTAAAATTGTCATGGTGTTTCTCCCAGGTGCCACACAGAAACCAGCCAAACCGGGAGGGGGCAGGGTCTCCAGTCACACTGTATTTCTATGTAGATTGCAACCACTTCATGAGTCTGTCTTTCATTTTTTGTTCAAAGTGAAAATATGTAAAGTATTTAATTAGGTATTATCCACCTATAACTACAGATGTATTATATTGGTGCTGTACCTGGTGGTTGCTGTCAGCCTGTCATAGCACGGTGCCAGGAGAGCAGATTGAGCCAAGCACAGAAAGAGGCCATCTAAAGGCTCAGAAAAGATTAATCTAATCGGAGGAAAAGCAATTTTCTGTCTTTGCATCTCAAGTTGCATTGCTTCCCTGACATTGTAATTTTGCCAATGTAACATGTTCCTGCAAGAGAGGGTCTGATTCAGAGATCTTGAAAAGCTTACATGGCTTCATCTGCATCAGGGCCAACTCTGCCTCTGGTCTCTGTTTATTTCTCCTTTATTTAATTTAAAAAGAAAGAAAAAGAAAAATCCCTTCATTGTACAGCTTTATTTTCCTCTGAATTCCCTGATGTGGCATGGTCCTCACAGGCAATGCTTCAAGACTGGGATTTTGTTAGTTTTCCATCGAAGAGGCTGGGCTTCGACATTTGAATTACCCTTTAAAATATTGGTACATCTTTTGACATAAACAGTTGGTTCTCTGCAATGGAAATAGCAATAGTCCCAGTTTTAAGGTGGGTTTCTGCCATTGATCTTGTGCTTACACCACACAGGAAAATAGTGCTGCCAAAAAAGAGCCCCTGAAGAGACAACCAGGGTTAGGCTAGCATTATTAAGGGTATCAGCAACTGAGCGCTACCTCTGTGCTGCTGCACGCCCAGACTGTTCCCTTCTGAGGTATAAGTGTGTATTGCAGAATGGAGTTGGCAAACATTAAACTCTCCTATTAAACGTCCTTAAACCTCTGTAGCAACTTCAGCCCAAAGTGTAAATGGTTCTACCCTGTATTCTGATTCCATCTGGTTTCAGTTGCCTTGTTAATAAGCCCCCAGCGGGAAGGGAGGTGCTTCTCCGTTCTGTTAGTGATCTGATCATGTTTATCCTTGCAGTTATCCAGCTCCACAGTACTCTTACTGATTCTACCTTATACTTTATTTTTGTGGTGTTTGTAGTCGAGAAACAGCCAGACGAGGAGGAGTCGCAGCTGCCCATTTCCACTCAAAATGGATCTCCCCGGCTGAACCGGGTAGAGGTCACAAGCAGACAGCCCCCAGAAGCCTATGATGTCCTGCTACAGCGGAAAGAGAATGAAGGATTTGGCTTTGTCATCCTCACCTCAAAAAACAAACCTCCTCCTGGCGGTAAGGGCTGACTCCTGTGTGTTGGTGTCACCTGCTCCACTGATGCCTGACGGGGGGAGATTAATTGGTTTAACTCATAGTTCCTCCTTCCAAAGCTGCAAGCAGTTATTGCCAATAGCATTCAGGGCTGGGGACTCCCAGGATATCCTTCTTTCCTAGGATGGTGTTTATTTTCCATGTCGAACCACCTACTGTGCTGTGATCTGTCGTTTCACTCGTCATACTGTTCACAACTTCAGTGACTAAAGGCTAAGTCTGTCTCACTCACAAAAGGGAATATGGTTTCTCTCATTTGTACATTTTGTAGAAAGTTTTGCATGTACAACAACTGAAGTGGGGGATGGAAATCACTCCTTACCAGTACAGGGGCAGGGGAAAAGAGAGAGAAAAGTATTCTTGTGATTGGATGACTTTCAGAATGTGTAAGGTGGTCAGACTGTGATGAGTGTGGGAATGGATGCACCGGTGTAGTCAGTGGTAAATGCAGGTAAACAGAGTTTACCCACTTCTCATTTGGGGAATATGGAGCTTAGTTTAGATTAGTTTACCCACTTTTTTTACCACCACACCACTGGATGCAGAGAACAAATATGCACACACGTACTCTTTACGCTCTCTGTACAGCAGTGCCCAATAGATAAAATCAGCTATTGGGTAGTTAGTGCATGGATCAATCTCTTACTAATAGAAGTATAGTTACAAACTTAGACGTGTGACATCCATTCAGGGTGTGTAGCTCATTACTCAGGTCTCTGGCTTTCTCAGACCTCAGTATTTCGAAAAAAGCAATGGAGGAATTAGTCAGGAGAACATTCTGTATCTGCCTCGTGACATGTTACAAACTGGAGATATTATCCTAAGCAATGTAGCGTGTCTGAGGGTTCTAACTTGTGGATTTGTCTGATGGATCAGTTGCTAAGATAAAGAGCTGAGTGGACCACGTGAAAATAAAGAAGGTATCTTGTAAGTAGCAATAAGAGACAAGTTGCTTGAGGGAGGCATCTGAAATTCTCCCTAATTAACGGAAAGATTTCTGACCCCTAGCACTAGAGTAATTTAAAAGAAGTGCCCATTCTTTATAATCAAATACATTTTTTTTATTGAGTGTGATCCTGGCTGCCTGACTCCCAGAGCCTTGCCAGGCAGTGGTTATTAACACCACCTCTGGATAGACAGATGTGCCTACCTTTCACAAACTGTTGACCTTTATGAGATGGCTTCCACATTCTTCTCAGATACTTTTGGCCAAGTTTTGAGTAGTTCGGTTTTAAAATGAAAAGGTATAGTCAATCTATAACTAGGGCCGTTGGCTGGCATTGTTCCCCTTTGTGAGAATTGGAGGAATGGGTATGGTTCTCTGTTCATAGAGAATGAAGAACTTACAGCCGGGCTGAGCCTTGTAATGCAAAAGGGATGCCGGACTGCTCAGTGGGTTTACCCAGGGCACAGCAAGTTACTTTCTTGTTTTTTCTCCCTGAGATGTGGACACACAGGTATCTGTACCCCAATGATCTGAAACATCTTACTTAAATCTTTTATGTCCCCTGCTTTGAATCACTTTCCCGGTAACTGCCCTAATGATCCCAGAGCACTTACTATAACAATGACTTGAATGTTGTTTGTTTGAGTAAAGGGATGCCCTTTCTTCCAGCCCAGACAAGTTACATTGACATTTTGCTCTGCATTATTTCTCTAAGTTTATTATACTATGAAAGAGCAGAAATACAGACAAAAGCAGTGACTCTGACAGAAAATCGTTCTCGTTACTTTGTTGAGTTTACGTGATATATATTTTGACTTAGAATTATTTGAAGTCTTGGCTAAAACAATACATTTTTAATGAAGTTTAAAACCAAGTGCATAGTATCAGTGAAGGTTGTGAAAGAGTGAACAGCTGTGGAGTTGAGTATTGCTCCAGTACTCGCTCAGTACTCAAAGATGCTGACTTCTGTTTTATAAAATCATGTGCTATAGTAACACTTGGGGCAGGAGCTGTCACTCTCTGATGCTGTACTATGATTATGTGCCCTGTGTTAGCGATATGAAAAACTACCACTTTGGACTGATTTTCTGTTGCCTTGTCAAAGTTGGATGATCGTAGAAAAATGATTATTAATAAATAAGCAGAAGTCTACTGTGTAATCCTGATACTGCATCATTAGAACATTTTTGTCAGAATACCATCCGGAAATTCTTTCATCTAGTTGAAACTGCAGTGAAAGTTAGGTTTTTTTTTTTTTTTTTTTTTTTTAAATGGGAAACAGAAGATATCTGGATCCCTGTTTCAGCATTGGAAGTGCTAAGGTAGCAGTCCCAGGCTGTTTTTACTGCTTGTAAATAAGAAACATTGATATATCAGTGTATTGCATTATGCTGGAACCTCTTTGCCACATCTTACATCAGAATGGCCAGACTGGGTCAGACCAAGGGTCCATCTAGCCTAGAGTCCTGTCTTCCGACAGTGGCCAATGCCAGATGCTCCAGAGGGAATGAACAGAACAGGGAATCATCCAGTGATCCAGGCCCTGTCATTGAGTCCCAGGTTCTGGCAATCAGAGGTTTGGAGCATGGGGTTGAGTCCCTGCCCATCCTGGCTAATAGCCATTGGACCTATCCTCCATGAACTTATCTAGCTCTTTTTTGAACCCTGGTTATAGTCTTGGCCTTCACAACATCCTCTGGCAAGGAGTTCCACAGGTTGACTGTGCATTGTGTGGTGAAAGACTTCCTTTTGTTCATTTTAAACCTGCTGCCTATTAATTTCATTTGGTGACCCCTAGTTCTTGTCTTATGAGAAGATGTAAATAACACTTCCGTATTTACTTTCTCCATGTCATTAATGTTTGTATAGACCTCTATCATGTCCCACCTTAGTCATCTTTTTTCTCAACTGAATAGTCCCAGTTTTTTTAATCTCTGCTGTGATGGAAGCTGTTCCATACCCCTAATCATTTTGTTGCCCTTCTCTGTGCTTTTTCCAATTCTAACTCTTTTTGAGGTGAAGTCACCAGAGCTGAATGCAGTATTTAAGGTCTGGGTGAACCAGGGATTTACATAGTGACATTGTGCTATTTTCTGTCATATTTGCTATTCCTTTCCTAGTGGTTCCTCATATTCTGTTAGCTTTTTTGACTGCCGCTGCACACTGGGCAGACGTTTGCAGAAAACTATCCACGATTCTCATCGTTTTGTATATATAGTTGGGATTATGTTATCCAATGTGTTTTACTTTGCACTAAGGCTGTCAAGCGATTAAAAAAATTAATCATGATTAATCACGCTCTTAAACAATAATAGAATACCATTTATTTAAATATTTGTGGATGTTTTCTACATGCTCAAATATTTGTATTCTGTGTTGTAATTGAAATCAAAAGTGTACAATTCTCACTTCATATTTATTTATTACAAATCTTTGCACTGTAAAAACAAAAGAAACAGTATTTTTCAATTCACTTAATACAAATACTGTAGTACAATCTCTTTATCATGAAAGTTGAACTTACAAATGTAGAATTACGTAGAAAAAAACCTGCATTCAAAAATAAAACAATGTAAAACTCTAGAGCCTTCAAGTCCATTCAGTCCTACTTCTTGTTCAGCCAATCACTCGGACAAACAAGTTTTTTTACATTTGCAGGAGATAATGCTGCACGCTTCTTGTTTACAAAGTCACCTGAAAGTGAGAACAGGCGTCTGCATTGCATTGTTGTAGCTGGATGCGCTAAAGATTCATATGTCCCTTCATGCTTCAACTACCATTCCAGAGGACACACGTCCATGCTGATGACGGATTCTGTTCGATAATGATCCAAAGTAGTGTGGACTGACACATGTTCATTATCATTATGTCAGTCAGATGCCACCAACAGAAGATTGATTTTCTTTTTTGGTGGTTCGGGTTCTGTAGTTTCTGCATCGGCGTGTTGCTCTTTTAAGACTTCTGAAAGCATGCTCCACACCTCATTCCTCTGATGTTGGAAGGCACTTCAGATTCTTAAACCTTGGCTTGAGTGCTGTAGCTATCTTTAGAAATCTGATATTGAAACCTTCTTTGTGTTTTGTCAGATCTGCAGTGAAAGTGTTCTTAAATCAAACAACATATGCTGGGTCGTCATGAAGAGACATGTGAATGTTTAGCATATCTGGCACGTAAATACCTTGTAATGCCGGCTACAAAAGTGCTATGCAAACACCTGTTCTCACTTTCAAGTGACATTGTAAATAAGGAGTGGGCAGTATTATTCCTATAAATGTAAACAAACTTGTTTCTCTTAGCGATTGGCTGAACAAGAAGTAGGACTGAGTGGGCTTGTAGGCTCTCAAGTTTTACATTGTTTTGTTTTTGAGTGCAGTTATGTAGCAAAAAAAAATCTACTTTTGTAAGTTGCACTTTCACGATAAGGAGATTGCACTACAGTACTTGTATGAGGCGAATTGAAAAATACTATTTCTTTTGTTATTTTTACAGTGCAAATATTTGTAATCAAAAGTAATATAAGCTGAGCACTGTACACTTTGTATTCTGTGTTGTAACTAAAATCAATATATTTGAAAATGTAGAAAAACATCCAAAATATTTAATAAATTTCGATTGGTATTTTGTTTAACCATTAATTTTTTTGTTTAAAATTGCGATTAATCAAGTGTGATTAAAATTGCGATTAATCAAGATTAAATTTTAATTGCAATTAATTTTTTTAGTTAACTGCGATTAATCGACAGCTATACTTTGCACTTATCAAAACTGAATTTCATCTGCCATTTTGTTGCCCAGTCACTCAGCTTAATGAGATCCCTTTGTAACTCTTCACAGTCCGCTTTGAACTTAACAATCTTGAGTCATTTTGTATCGTCTGCAAATTTGACCACCTTACTGCTCACCCCCTTTTCCAGATCATTTATTCATGTCTTAAAATGAACCCCCTGCGATATAAAACTGGGATATTTTACACAAGATAATTCATCAGTAGTTGTAACTCTACAATCCTGTGATGTTTTTTCTCATCACGGGTAACTCTTACATAAATTATATTTAAAATGTAGGCCTTAAAAATGGGAGAAGAAATTAAAGACAATACAATTAAATCTTTAAATGGAGGTAAAAATTGAGAGGCATCAATGTCTGCTCCTTTATGGAAAATAACAAGTGTTTGCTAGCTCCTTAATTACAAGCCTGAATGGTAAATTAAGGTCAGGTTTCCAATGACTTTCAGAAAATGTTTGAGATTTGCTGTCAGAGTTTGAAATCTTGTTAAGTACATAATTCTGCACCCCTCTCTCTCCATTCACCATCCGTTCCCTTTCAGTGAAGCATGCCTGGGAGAGCAATTGCAATAAAGAAGTTAGGAAGAGGACAGAGACACCTTCTCCCTCCACTGGGCTTTGGGTGCACATAAGGGATTTCAGGTGAAATTTCAGTTGACAGGAAGAGCATCAGTGAAAGGGATGGCTGGAACCAATCGATCTTTGGGGACAGTCTAAGGTAGAAATGCGAGCACTGCAAATTATATGCTGTATATGTGGGGTTTTATGGGCAGCTGGTCCAAGAACCATTGTGAGAGACTGTAAGGATCCATGCAGAGGGGAACCATTTTTGCTACACCTTCAGGAATCCAGGTAAATTAAAGGCAGCATGGGAAGGCAGCATACTGACAGATGGGCTTAGATGTAACGTGAAGTTCCTCCAGTGTATCGTAGCTCAGGCAGCACAATGCGCTGAGGTTTCTGTAGGCTTCCTACTGGTGCATTGGCCTCGTGTGAGCTGTTGAGTGCAATTTGCTGTATTGACTTACAGATCATCAACAACCAACCTACAGGTTTCCATTAGCATCACTACAGATCTTGCTAGTTGGTAGAGTCTGTGGGAGCTACTGGGGAGTAGAGATACTGGCTGATTTCTGTCAAAGAGATGCCTGAAGAAAAGTATTGTATTTCTGAGAAAAGGATTAAATTAAATTTTTTTTAAATTAAATTAGATATCCTATCTCCTAGAACTGGAAGGGACCTTGAAAGGTCATCGAGTCCAGCCCCCTGCCTTCACTAGCAGGACCAAGTACTAATTTTGCCCCAGATCCCTAAGTGGCCCCCTCAAGGATTGAACTCAAAACCCTGGGTTTAGCAGGCCTATGTTCAAACCACTGAGCTATCCCTCCTCCTGTGATCAGACTGGAGTTTGGTTTTGCTGCTTATAGAACTGCAATACTATACCCCTAGAATCACATACCACATTAACACACCTCCGAACCTGCAGAAAAGGAGGGCCTGTTGACTTCATTACTAGGGTCTCCTTATTTCACAGGGAAAGGAGAGGTGTATTTTACTCATACTATTCACAGCTCAATGACTTTTTTGTCCTTTTTTAATGAGTTTTCTAATCAATGATTTTTCTTTCCTCAAACAAATTATTCACTTGTTAGATCAGCAATTTCCATTCTGCAGTATTGGTATTCATACATGCGGGTGTTCCTAATTTCACAATGTGTAGCATTAATTGAAAGCTACCAGTGGAACTTTCCTCTGCCCGTTGGAAGCTTTTTAGTTCTGCCCCCTCCTATACCCAACCCATTGCTTGGTCCGGTCCTGGGAAAGTGACTAATGTGAATGAGGCCCTTAAAATTACTCTCCCTCTCCCTTACTTTCTGCTTCCCCTTCTCTTTCCCAGTCCCATTGCTCTGGCCCCTAAAGGAGTGTATTAAGGAGAGTGGCAGTGAGGTGAGCCACCTGGATAAGCTGAGCTGGAGGGCTGGTTAAAACTTACTATATGGAAATCACCAGGGGGTTATGGGTGCAGATCCATCTTGAAGCCCAGAAATGCAGAAGTAGGAAAAATCTTTGTCCAGAACCTTTACTTCTCTCGCTCACCTTTGGATTCTGTCTGACTACACCCAGCACCACTGTCATGACCCATATTCTAAAGTTAATATGTTGTCTGAAGGTTTTATTTTTCTTCTCTAGTGTACTTAGGTATTGCAAGGTATTTGTACTGTACATGTCACAGGGTCAAAAATCAATCTGTGCGCCTAGATTTGCCATGGCTGCATCAAGCTGGCTCTTTGCATCCTCCCTCCAAAGGATGCTTCAGTACTTCTAAGCAAGCAAGAAAGAAACCAGCCTCTTGCATATGGCAGAACAAATTGCCTCAGAGAATCCTGATGCATAAGATTTTATTCATTCCGTGCAGATGTGATCTGCTTCCTTTAAAGGTTTTCGTTTAGGCATAATAATAGCTCTCATGTGCCAGGGGAAGGCTCTTAGTGGCTTTGCCTGGTTAATATTTTTCCTTCACTCTGCTGGCTTTGCATGCTGCGTGGATTTTTTTGTTGTTCCAGTGGATCTGTCATAGTTGGCTTGTTTATGTAGAAGACTGTCTGGCAAGCTGTAATGAAGGGAAAATGACCGTGGAGATGGAAGTTTCTTAGGAGAGTATGCAGCGTAAAGCTGTTTGTAAACCTTGGACTTTGCACACTTCCTATGAGAGCAGAGAGATACCTGGGAATTGGAAATGGAACACACCTGTCCCCATGTACCCAGACTGGAACTCCATACCATGGCACTGCTTGGTCCCATATGTCATTCCTGAAAGAGGCACATTGGGGTCAGACTTGTTAGGAATGACCATGGCCAACAGGAGGATCATCAGGCCAAGACTCCAGCGGCATCTGAACAGTACAAATGCTCTTTGGTACCAGTGGGCTGGTAGGGTTCCCATAGTCACCGTTAGGAGCCTGTAAAGTTTCTCCCTTTCCTGCTCATCTGCTCTTTTCTGTTTTCATGGTGACCCTCTTCCCCACTCCGCGGTGATAGCAGCTTCAGCAACCTATTAATCCATGCCTTCTTGATGCCTAGCTCCTATGGATCTACTAACCAAAGGCATTATATAAGAACTGGGTGGTATTCCACACTGTGTACACTGTGTGTTCCATAGGAATGCATACTTCCTTCACAATTGAACTTCCATTTTTTATTTGCTATAACATTATATTAGCCATATTAATTTTATTATATATTATACATTATAATGTATTTATGGATGGACTACCTTTCTTGTAGATGCTCTGTAGGGCCACTGCCTTCTCCTCATTCACATCCCTCTAAAATACCCCCTTTCATAGCGATGTTTGTTTGCAAGACACTAACTGGCTGAGTGTGGTTCTTTCAGACGTACTTGGGGAATCCTTAATCTAATTTTTTTAACATTGATATTAAAACACTTGGTCAGTTGCCAAATACCTTACGTTGTTACCCCCCACTTCCTTCCCTTATGTCTGTATGCCTTTTAGATAAGGGACCATACCTTCTCTCCTGTTTGCATAGCACCTTGCACATTGTGGAGAATCTAAAAAACACATTCTAGTAATGCCCAGATATCCTGTGTATAGATTGACATCCTGCTCAGCACATCTGATGTAGCCCAAATAAGCCACAAAGCTGATATTTACTTTATTTAATTCATTGGCACAAGTAAAATTTATTTGAGATGAAAAACTTGTTATAACTCAAATTTTAACAGTACATGACCCCTTATGACCTATTCTGTTTTAGTATAAAAACTGTACCCTGTACAAACCACAGAAGGACAAATCAATGAGTGGGGAGTCATTAACTGTTAGTTGCCTACTGATAGCCAGGCAGTGGTGGAAGTTGCTACTGGCAGTTGTGCCACCTCGAGGAGGTTGTCCGGAGCCACTTGGCCTATAATTTCACACCTGCTATAAACTGAAGGAGGCATGGTAGGAAATTTATCTTGATAACCTGCGTTTCATAATCACAAACTTTAAGCTTCTTTTAAGGAAGGGTATGCATAAGTAATGTTGTGTTTCTTGTAATCTGCCAGATTGGTGCACCAAGTAACAGCTTTGGAAGTGGAACCAACAATGCTTTACACCTTTCTCTCCATTTTATCTAGTTTACAGGTTTAGCCACACAGAGCAGATCAGAGGAAGTCTTTTTTTCCCATTTCTCTGAACATTTCTCTGCTTACATGCATTCCTGTTTGTCTTGCAAATCAATGTAACAGGGTTGATTTATTGTCATTAGCTCTGATAGTGCCTCCTTCCATGTACGCAATGGAGAGAAAACTCTTTGTGAAATTATATGATGCCCTTTTTTGCTAAGGCTCTTGATTTTAACTTGCTCTGATTTAAGGGTAATGAACCTTGGCTGCCAACAAAATGAAACACCACCACAAGATCCACTTCTTCTAAGTACTCAGACAGCCAGTATTGCATGGTGCGTGGAATTCTCTATACCAACCCCACCTATTGTCTGTTGTTAGCCAGATTCAAATGTGCAGGTCACAGTGACAATAAATAGCTAGTTCCTCTCAAGTTGGAAGCACTCCATGGTAGAGCCACTCTGATTTATTTGAGACAGTTAACAGCAATTGTTTACATTTGTAGAGCTTCATATAAATGAACAGTAACCGCGGCTGCCTATTAACAAGTAAAATGTATGCTGAAAAAGCTGACGTGCCTTTTCTTGGTTCCCTAGTGATTCCCCACAAGATCGGGCGTGTTATTGAAGGGAGCCCAGCCGATCAATGTGGGAAGCTGAAAGTGGGAGACCGTATCTCAGCTGTGAATGGGCAGTCAATCATAGAGCTGTCCCATGACAGTATAGTGCAGCTGATTAAAGATGCAGGCCACGTGGTCACCCTGACTGTCGTTGCTGAGGAAGGTAAGGAAAATGCTTGCTTATTTCTCTCCAGTGCGGACACTAATGGTGGCACAGCCTGCAGGGTGGGGCGTGCTGCCACATGATCACCAAGTATTTCTGTAATAAAATAGCTGCAAAGCCCCAGAGTCTGGTTTTATATCTTCTTAAGTGAACAAGCTGAAAAGGAGGTATTATAAAGACGTCAGAGGTTTTAGGAAAATAATCTATCTAGTGAGTGACGGACTGTGAAGCTCATTTCATTTGCTTGATGGAAGTTGGGCACAAGTGCAGAGGAGTGAGGGAGGGGAGACGGATGCAGAGATGGTTTTATTGAAAAGACAAGATTCAGGCATTGAGAATCAGTGCTGTGGTATGGAAATGCCTCCATAGAAATCAGAGAGAGAGACGTTCCTGACAGGAAATATTCCCCATCCAGCTCTAGCACTTCTTAGGGCTGGTCTACTCGGGGGAGGGGGGGGGGGTTGATCTAAGATACGCAACTTCATCTACGAGAATAGCGTAGCTGAAGTCGACATATCTTAGATCGACTTACCTCCCATCCTCACGATGCGGGATCGATGGCTGCGGCTCCCCCATCGACTCCGCTTCCGCCTCTCGCTCTGGTGGAGTTCCGGCGTCGACGGGGAGCGCGTTCGGAGATCGATTGCTACCCGCCAGTCCAGCGGGTAGTAAAGACGTACCCTTAGTGTGAAAAAGATCTGATCCTTCAAGTTTTAGAAGGGAGAAGAAATTACTGCACTCTGGGATGCCAGTGAAAAGTTGGGTTGAATTTTTTTTACCTTACTTGGCATCCTAGAGTTCTTCAGCAGGAATTCACGTCAGGAGAGCCCCTGCCCCAGTACTAAAAGGTAAGTTCCTACGGTGATATTGCCTGTGCAAGCCAATAGCATGGGGCAGCTGTGCCTCAGGGGCCCTATTGCTGAACAGAAGTCAAGCCTAGCAAAATATCCAGTTCTTAGACATCCTGCCCTGCTGGACATGGTCAGTGTTTTCCTCTCACTCTGTGAAAATGCACAGATTTGCCTGATGCTACATTTCTGGGACACAATGAACACAATGTTCTTCTAAAGATACATTTGGAGAAAACTCGCATCCTGATTACTATTTTTTCTGCAAAGCCTCTCAGGTTGCTAGCAAATTCAGTGCACAAAACAGTGAAATCCTCGAGGCAGCAAAATGAATATTTGTGATGCCAAAGTCCCACCTTCAGAGATGGCATTTTCTAATGAAAGCTCCCATGCCACACTGCTCTCAATATTATATTGTTCCCTACACAAACAGTTCACTATAAATATGTAAAATCCAATCATTTGAAGAGAGAGCTTTTTTCCAGCACTGCTTACCATTGCATTTTTCTGGATTGCTGCTTGTAGGTTTAATTAAAATTGCTATAATTATTTTGCCAGTAAGATGGGTTTCTCCACTCTTAAATAATAAATACGTAAAACCAGCATGTGGATAAAGCCAACAAATGATCCCCTCTCATTTCACGTTCATTGCAAATATTTAACATGGTATCTTGGCCTTTCAAATAGAATATAAAAGACTTAATTTACCTGCTCATTAATGCTTGAAACAGAGAGGCTCTTTTTATTTATAAAATCCATTCTATTCCAATGAAGCTTTCATTTTTATCAAATCTAATTCATTTCAGGCCAAAGGGATGCAGCTCAAAGCAATCACCCTGCCTTTAATGCAGTTGAAGTTTAAGTTGAGGTTGCGCTGAAGTCCATTTCTATCTAGTTTTTAATCAACCTTGTCTCTGAGATAAATTGCCTCTGTCATTAATATGTGAATATAACACCCCTTTTCACACACCCTGTAGAAACACTGATCTGAGCTTTTCTCCATTCCTAAGTCCTATGGGATTTGCAGATAAAATTCAGAGATAAAACATGGACCTGAGTGAGAATCAGTGTTGGAAAAAAATCTCAGTAACAGATTATAAAACCAGCCCAAAGTGACCAATAGAAGCCATGTTGCTTGGAGATTTATATAATGTTTGGAGGAAATACAGAAATCCATGTTGCTCATAAACAAGAGTAAATTACTGTTTCTAAAATAATCACTGGTTTAAGCTTGGGGAATGTAGTTCAGCTAATAGCACAGCTGCAGTGAGCACCAAGTTCCAGATCATAAAATACTAGGCAGGCACTATCCTCCTTAGAGCGGTCAGACCCTGGGGAAAGCCAGCGCAGACATTAGATCATGCAGACCTTTCAATCAGTTACACACTCTGGGAAGCAGGTTGGGCTTTATAGCGTTGGTCATCTGGCTACTGCTGCCACTAGTTAGTTGCATTGTGGATAACACTGAGGGGAGAGAGAAATACCCATTTAGCCAGAAGCTATTCAGCACCATAGTGCTCAAGCCCTGACTGACTTTGCTGTTTCCCCAATGCATCTTTTGTGCTGACCTCTTAGATTGGCAGTGAAAATGTTTTCACCCCTCAGCTCATAGAGCTACAATGCAACTCTGATCCCTCCGCTGCTCCCCTCCAGCTTTCACAGATGTGCGCTCTTTTCTTTTCATCCTTTGTCCCAATAGTCTCTCTAATTCTAGAATAAGTGAATTCTGCTCCATGCTCCAGAAGACATTCTACAACAGCCTCAGTCGTGTCCTAACCAAAAACATGGGAGAGCAGGATGAGTGGAGGAGCCGAGAATTCATGCAGACAGATGGCCTTTCTCTTACCTGTGCTTATTAACTAAAACTTTGAATGTACACCAGGAATAAATGTTGACATTTGTCTCTGGGGGGTAAAAAAAAAAAACCTCTTCAAGGCATGTCCTAGCAATAAGGCCAGACAGCCCTGTGATGAACTCTGCAAGATCTGGTGTAGCTGATAAATGCTGCAATATAATGTAATAATCTGTATTGAGAAGCAGTAATATGCTTTCCTTTATCTCAAGGTGCATAATTACTTGTGTTTTTCAATTATTATTTATGCATTTACCTAACACACACCTAGCAACACCGGGCTGGAATGTCTGAGACACTTTCCATTATAAGAACTTATTTTCAGAGTTTGCAACTGAACCATAAATGTTCATTCCAGGTTAAAACTTGCCCGTTAGGGTTTCTGAGTGCCTTTTGGTGGAATGTGGTTTGCTCTGCTGTTTGAGTGGCAGTCACTTTGTATTTCAAAAACATGAGTTTTTTTGTAAGTCATTTGATCAAACCCGTACAATAACTGTGTTTTCTGTGTTGGAGATAGATTCGCTTTGTGAAGGCTACTAAGGGGGATTTTGTTAAAATACCATTATAGGTAAATTGCCTGTTAAGGCTCTTTGGGGAGAGGGAGAACATTCCAATATTCCAGTTCTGATTAAAATATTGAATAGACTAGTCCCTTTAATACAGCTTCAGGAACCATTTGTAACCTTTCCCTGAGAGTTTGCCTGTGATAGATCTTCTCCATGATGGATTAGCAGATGTGACTGTCAGTAGCGCCTCCAGGAGCCTGGCTGGGTTGGGCTCAAACCCTGTTCACAATGGTGCTGGAGTAGGGGTGGGGCAGGCATCATGCTGATCTTTCTGATTATTTGTTAAATCACCATCAAATACTGTGCGGGGGACGATCCGCCTGTGGATCTGTTTAGTTCTGACACTGCTCCTGCCTTTACCAGGTTATACACAATCTAAATGTCTGTATGTTTGATTCACCAACTTAATCTGTGCGGTCATTCCTAGAATAAAGTAGTTTAGCTTAGCAGAAAGTTCCTCCATTGGGAGGATGAACTTCACCCACTACCCTGATTTATGGAACTGAATCTAGAAATCTCCACTCCTCCTCTTCAGCGCAGCATCAACCTGGCATGTTACTGTCATCCAGCACAGAAGTATTGTGTATGCTTGGCTGTGTGGCTCAGACCTGCTAATTAGCTTATCCTAAGGAAAATGGAAATTCTGTTTCTCCTGAAATTTTAAATTAAAAGCCCTGCATTCTCACTCTAGGCAGCTGACCGCAAGAGCTGCTGTTTACCTAGAAGAGTCAGAAATGCTCAGAACAGCAATTCACTCTCTTGTGCCGTTTACTCCCCTCATGCCACACAGTGTGTTTTTAGAGGTCTGTCTGTAATTCTGTTTTGTTTGACTTTATTAGAGCACCGTGGCCCCCCTTCAGGAACCAACTCTGCCAAACAAAGTCCAGCCCCACAGCACAGACCTATGGGAACAACACAAGCCAACTCTGCAACAGCAGACAGGTATGATGCCTTTCAGACAGATGGGAACCAAAAATGAACAAAGAATGAGCCTGGCTGGTGTGATACCCAAGGATGACTTAGGCTGGGGCTGAATCCGTGCGCAGAAGTGAGGGGAAGGAGGGGCAGCCAACTGTGGGTCATGTTCCCCATATCCTTCAGCAAGCCCTCATCTCAGTGCACGGGAGCGTCGTCTGGGCATTGCCCTTGACTGCATCAAAAAAGGGCACAAATGCTCCATCGTTCTGGGTACCTAACAAGGACTTGGAATTGTTGCCTCAGTAACTCCTGTATCAGCCTGGCCCTTATAATCTCCTGTAACTGTTAGTGTTCGTGCTATGCACTGTCTTTGGCATATGTTGTGGGGAACAGTAATTGATTCACAGATTATGCTCACTCATAGCTGAAGACTATTCCTGTTCTGTTACAGAAGAGGGTGTCTACGGAAGGAGTTGAGGACTAAGCTGGATAAGTTTATGGAGGGGATGGTATGATGGGATAGCTTAATTTTGGCAATTAATTGATCTTTGACTATTAGTGGTAAATATGCCCAATGGCCTGTGATGGGACACTAGATAGGGTGGGATCTGAGTTACTACAGAGAATTCTTTCCTGGGTGTCTGGCTGGTGAATCTTGCCCACATGCTCGGGGCTTAGCTGATCACCATATTTGGGGTTGGGAAGGAATTTTCCTCCAGGGCAGAGGCCCTGGGGTTTTTTCACCTTCCTCTGTAGCGTGGGGCACGGGTCACTTGCTGGAGGATTCTCTGCACCTTAAAAAAGAACAGGAGTACTTGTGGCACCTTAGAGACTAACAAATTTATTAGAGCATAAGCTTTCGTGGACTACAGCCCACTTCTTCGGATGCATACAGAGTGAAATAAATATTGAGGAGATATATATATACACACATACTGAGAGCATAAACAGGTGGGAGTTGTCTTACTAACTCTGAGAGGCCAATTAAGTAAGAGAAAAAAAACTTTTGAAGTGATAATCAAGCTAGCCCAGTACAGACAGTTTGATAAGAAGTGTGAGAATACTTACAAGGGGAGATAGATTCAATGTTTGTAATGGCTCAGCCTTCCCAGTCCTTATTCAATCCTGAGTTGATTGTGTCTAGTTTGCATATCAATTCCAGCTCAGCAGTCTCTCGTTGGAGTCTGTTTTTCAAGTTTTTCTGTTGTAATATAGCCACCCGGAGGTCTGTCATTGAATGACCAGACAGGTTAGTGTTCTCCCACTGGTTTTTCAGTATTATGATTCCTGATGTCAGATTTGTGTCCATTAATTCTTTTGCGGAGAGACTGTCCGGTTTGGCCAATGCACCTTGAAGTCTTTAAACCATGATGTGAGGACTTCAATAGCTCAGACATCGTTTAGGGGTTTGTTACAGGAGTGGGTGGGTGAGATTCTGTGGCCTACGTTGTGCAGGAGGTCAGACTAGACTATCATAATGGTCCCTTCTGACCTTTAAAGTCTATGACTCTATGTCTAGGAGAAATTGGAAATGTTATTCTTGTATGTCTAGGCTGTTCAGGGATCCGATAAATCAGGAGGCAGATATCTAAGACCAGCTCTGATCAGAGATGATACTCCATCCCTTCAGCACTTTTCTCGGACCAAGGGGTGATTACTTCTGAGTGGAAATCACCCAATAAAACCCCAATCAATAAATGGTTCATGAGATCCTGGGAGATGCTGTCAATGGGGAAAATATTCACAGGGATACTCTGTTTCACAGCCAATGTATCAGTTATGTAGCACAATGAATAGATGGACATGCTGGGTTTTTCACCTATTTTTCCCATATTAGCATTACCTTTATTACGTAATTCAGCAGTACCCTACTTACCCTGGGCACTACTGCAGGATGATCTTCTCTTACCTGCTTTAATTAAAATGAAGGTTTAAAAATTAAAAGTTAGCTTGATGCTGTCACTGCACAGTTTAAACCCATTCATAGCAGTTATGTGGCCTTTTTCTAGATGGTGCACACTGATTTTTTTTTAATCATTGTGATGATGGCAAAGAGTCTGGGATTAAATCCTCAACAGTGATTCATTTCCTGGATTTTGCATGTTAGTTACATGAAGTACCTGATCATATTCTGTCTGTGTATGAATTGGGGACACTTCATGCTCAGGATAAACTAAGCATTATATACTGTCAAAACTGTCTCACCTGTGAGTGAAGTGTGCGAAGAGAGAAGGGTTCCCTCCAAATGAGAACAGAGGGTAAGACTGAACTGCTATTTTTTGTACTCTTTATAATCCTTGGGTTCACAGAAGACCCTAGTGTCAGATGTCCCTAACTCAGGAATGAAATAGCTGACGCAACTCCTTGTGCCAAGCAACTGACTGATAATTGATGGTCGGCTGTTGATGTGCTGCAGTAGGTTAAGGTTATAAATTACAGATGATGAAGAAACAACTGTTAGATACCCTTTTAATTGTATAAGCTTTGCATGAGAAAACTCTATTGTTGTACAACTGATCTGTTTCTTGCTGGTCCATCTAATAGTAACTATTAGCAAGACGTTGCTGCAGATTCATTCAGTTTCCATGTAAATGTGACCTGAGTAACTTTACCTTTCCTTCCATCAATTTGCAGGGGAGTCACAGAAGATGAAGCTGGAAGAGAACTTTCCAACAGTTACAGGCTTCCCTGGCCTGAGCACAAGCACTTGCCCCAGCCCGATGGCGGTGTTCTCTCCGTTGTAGGCAGCCGTCATTCTCAGGTAGACACCTATCCTGAGGAGCCAAAAGACTGCAAGATCCTGGTGGTACTGAGGTCCTAAAATTCAACTGCCACTGACATCTGTATGCTAATAGTCTAGGATAACCTTTCCCTTAGGAGATATGGTGTTGAGAAGATAGTCTTTGTTATGAATGTCTGACTAGGCATGTGTCAAACAGTAGGGAGGATGTTTTGCTAATACTTAATATTTTAATGTTGTTATAAACTTAGTCTAGTTTAATATTGCTGATCATTATAGTTATAAAAGAAACAACAAACCTTTGAAACAGAACTACTGTAACATCTTGGGAACATTCTATATGGAAAAACAGTTCATACATATTTAGGAATTTTAGAATTAAACTGCTCTGCCGATTTTGGCTGGGTATAACTCTGCCTCATACCGAATCATATGATGGGAGTTTGTGATGAGTCAAATTCAATTGCATATTGCACTTAATTAAAACCACATCCCTTCATAGGTGTGTATTAAAACCTGCCTAGTGTGTGAAATTGAAGGGATTTCTCTGGTTTTATAAAATACCTTTCCTGAAAATGTAGGGGAAACTAACAGAAGTTAAAATTTCTCAGTCCACAATTCTTCATCTTGTTTATCTCGTTTCTTATGCAGAGTCTTGGCTGTTCTCCAGTAGAACTGGAACGAGGCCCTCGGGGTTTTGGATTCAGTCTTCGCGGAGGAAAGGAGTACAACATGGGCTTATTCATCCTTCGACTTGCTGAGGATGGGCCTGCCATCAAGGATGGAAGAATTCACGTGAGTGTCAGAGATCACTGATGAATTCAAATAGGTTAGGCTCCTCAAGATGTTCATTACCCAGTCAAAGAATTTGCTTCACTGTAAGTGCTTAGTGTCTCCCTGCACACACACAACAGTTATTTAGACCCGCAGCAGTGTAAGAGTTGTAATTGCAGAGAGGTAGCAAACTGTGTTGATAGTTGTAATGTTTCAGGAAATAAAAATCCCAGCAACATGTTAGGGGGAAAGAAAACTGCTCTCTGTGCACCACTGCCACTCCCCAAGAAAGCTGGACACCATCTACTCTAAAGACATAGTAATAGATGTTTCCAACAATGAATTCTTCTCTATAGACAGTAGTTTGCCAGAATGAGTGGTTTTTAGAAGCCCAGACTGGAAATAGCACAATGAAATGCAAGTCTGTTGGAAGGTTCCCAAAGTCCAGGTAAATGTGGGTTTGTGAGAGCACCCAACCTTTGTGTTTATGCTGAGCTTTCATTGTTCAGCATAAAATTTTTAAATGGTTCCAAACCAAGTGCCTTCCCTACCAACATGTTAATTCTTGTGTGTCATGTCTAAGAATCTCACTGTTTAAATATTGTCTCCTAAACAAACCAAATATATGCAAAGGGCGAAGGCAGCGTCACAACTGTTGGAGACCAAACACAGTTCTGTAATTACTGTCCATAAAATGATTTTTACTGGCTGGAGCATGGAACTGAGAATCAGAGACTCCTTTTAGTTCTGATTCCATTCCTGCCAGTGACATGTGGTCTGGCCCTTTACACAAGTCACTTCACCTCTTTCTGTCAGTTTTGTAGTCTGCAAAGTGAAAGTAGTAATCGACTACTTTTGAGAGACGATGTCAGGCTTAATTGGATGCAAAATTCAAAGTGTTAACTTTTATTGCGCTAATTCTTAACATTTAGTCGTTAGCTTTTCTTATGCTTGGGAGATTGCTTGAGTCTTAGCGTGCTGCTTCTGTTTTCTCTTGTACTGCTCTTCCAAGTGCGGTTATGCTAAACTCCAGATCTTGGCATTCAAGTCACCAGCAACTGAAGCTGCAAATCTTGGACTTTCATTGCAGAAATTTCACAGCAATAAACAGAATCTAATGTATACAATTCCCTGAACTCTTGCTGTGTTCAGCTTTATAAATTCCCAATCTATTGGGGACACATAATATAACTCTTTGGGCTCTGTTCTCAAAAATGACATCAGCACAGCACGCTTATCTGCTTTCTCCTATGGGTCTTCTGTGCCAAAGAATGGGTGAGCTGTAAGATAAATTTGACTGTGGGGGTATTCATAATAAAACAAATTTCAAATATTCATCCTCACACTGGAGCTCATCTTTCTTTCATTATACTTCTTATGTGATATTTGCATTTCTCCAAAGATCTGGTAGGCCTACCAGATATCATGTAATAAGATCTCTTCCTCCTCCCAACAGATAGAGATAGGAAAACAAAACTCTGGTGTCCTCCCTGTTCCCCTTCTCAAGGCACTTTACCTGGCTGATCACACCCAGCTCTTTCCTGTCTCCCTGCAGGTGCTGATCACCTTCTGGTCAGCTAAACTAGGGGATACATTTTGTTCACGGTTAGTGGTTTTAGCAGGGCTCCTTCCACTGTAGCAATCTGTATGGAGCAGCCCACTGTTATCTGCTTCCTGACCCTGCTAGAGGCAAGTATTGTTCCATTTCAGAGCTCCGCGTTGACTGACTGACATAGAGGGTCCAGTCTTGGGTAGGCTGTTTCCCAGAGGACATCAGTGAATTAGCTGGGTGCCTGCACTGTATGGGAGAGGCATATTCAGCTGTGTTTAAAATGCTCTTTCCATGCTTGAAGCAGTAACAGTTTCACACCGGAACTATAGCACCCTGAAAAACGAGTTCATAATGGGACAGCCTCATCTTCTGTGCCCTGGCAGCAGGTATGTGCCCTCCTCCAGCCCTTGAAAGCGAAAAAGCTGGTGAATTTGCTTTCCATGTCCACTGGGCTGATCATGCCTATACACTGATAAAATGGGAACCTATCTATCATAGTGAAGCTCCACCAGTGGTGGCAGCAATGGAGGCACTAGTATAGGCAAATCCCTGAGTCCTATCTGTACCAGTACTGCCATTGGAGCCATGCCCCACTGGGAATCTTGAGTCCTGAGGGCCAGCAAGGCCTAAGCGGTGTCATTCTTATACTCCATGCATTGGAAAATATTTGCAACCATCTCCTTCATGGCACCTGACTCTCTTGCAAGGGCCACTTCTCATAGCTTCTGTTGCAGAGATCAGCGGGATGAATAGAATTAATGCTCATAACAAAACATAAGGAGTGATGTCAATGAAAACTGTGGAAGCAGGTTGTAGACTCTGGAAACAGGAGCTACCTCTAGATTCTCCCTGGCCAGGGCAGAACGTCTCCGTGCCTAGATAAGCTTGTTCACGATTCTGTGCTGTCCAGTCTTTCCCAATTCAACCACAGAAATGGCCCTCGGCCTTTCCCAGTCCCAATTTAAATACACCTCTACCCCGATAGAACGCTGTTCTTGGGAGACTAACACGGCTGCTACTCTGAAAAAAATCTTACTGCATTATAGATGAAACCGCGTTCTATCAAACTTGCTTTGATCCGCCGGAGTGCACAGCCCCGCCACCGCAGAGCACTGCTTTACCACGTTATAGCCGAATTCGTGTTATATTGGGTCGCATTATATCGGGGTAGAGGTGTAATACTTTCTGAGGGAGCTTTTCAGATACTGACACAAAGGAGCTCTAACAACCCAGTTTGTAGCTGGTTTGAACATTAGATGGTAAAACGCACCTTTACCCTGTGTTTTCCCAAATGGTTTTGTGTCCTCCTTCTGGTTCATTTATTATTGTATTAGATCTCCATGATCATAGGGTTCTATGTGGGACTGTAACCTTCTTCTGTAGCATTTTATGTAACTGATCTAAGTAAGACGCGTGCTCTTTAAACTGCAACTTTTATGTAGTAGTGACACCTAATGGAAAATCAGTTTAATTGCAAGATGAATCTAATGCTCTTTCATGGGTTAGAATCCAAATGCTTTCTGATATTCTCAAAAAGAACAGAAGTACTTGTGGCACCTTAGAGACTAACAAATTTATTAGAGCATAAGCTTTCGTGGACTACAGCCCACTTCTTCGGATGCATATAGCTGACTTCTGATATTCTGACATCCATTATCTGATGCGTTTGTTAATTTGCATCAAAGTCCTTAAAGCTGGTATCTCACTAGTCAGGAATGAGCTGGTATTGTCATACAGTGAACTCTCTCACTCAGAATAATAAATCCTTTCTTTTCCTTTATGGGAAACCTATGGGCAACCCTCTCAGCTATATTAATATAAGGGTGTTTGGCGGTTTATTAATTTTAGAGTAATTACCACATGCCTTATAACAATCTATTTAAGCACCTACACAACGTGATTAAGTATCTTCATGGTGCAAGTCTTTATATCAGAGCATCAACAAATTACTTTTATGGAGTGAAGATGTACTCAAGAACATGGATGTATTAAACATTTATCAAATGGAAAATTCATTTCAAGTAACCTGAGCCCTTTAGCGCAGCCAGCTTGGCAGAATATCTACATGAAAAATTCACTGACCAGCCAGATGGGTGAATTATATTAATGTTATATGTTAGTGGCTGTAGGAGAGTAGTGCTAGAGCTGAGTGGGTTTCAGGTAATGGAAGGGACTAGGGAAAAGGAAAGCTTGGCTTGAGCTATGGCTTTTCCTATATTGAATAAGAATCCAGTTACAGTAGTAGTGCTTGATGAAGTTTAATCTGGCTGGTATTGTCTTTTCAGGTTGGTGACCAGATTGTTGAAATCAATGGCGAACCTACCCAAGGTATCACTCATACACGAGCCATTGAGCTGATTCAAGCAGGAGGAAATAAAGTTGTTCTTCTTCTGAGACCAGGGACTGGCTTGATACCAGATCATGGTAAGTTACAGGTTGTACCAATTTGTCCGGAGGGGATGGGGGGAAGGTGGTAAAAAGAAATGTGTGTTGACGAATGTCTAAAGAGGTTGGATGCTGTTGTGCATGCACTAAAGCTACTTAGCAATATCCTTCCATTTCTGCTGACTTTCAAGCTGCCTGTTTTCATACAAGCACAAATAATGTGACCAGAAAAAAAACAAATCTGTTGCCACGGAATAGTTATTTTACTGGAAAGACAACACACAATGTAATGTTATTGCAAGTATTCTTTAGGCCATGTTTTGTTCTGATGATCCCATCCATCTCCAACTTGATTTCTGTGCTCCTCTACACACATTATAATTAAAGACACAATTTGCTTTTACACTTGAATAAAATCTAGTATGGTATAGGGCTTCTGTCAAGATGATTATTTTTGTGATGCTTCAGTTTCTCTTATGAACTTAAACTATAAAACGTTAAATTTTTCAAAAACAAAACTTCTGAAAGAGTGAAGGTTTTGCTCTTGGAATAGAAAATTTTAATTGTGACTTGTTTTTTGCATATAAGGCAGCAAAGCACAAATCTATAAGCAAATTGCTTGGGCAGAAATGCCTGCTAGAACTTCAACTGAGTTCAACTGCAGGGCATGCTCCAAAATCAAAACTATTTGTGACTGTCAGTCTTTCAAAGCAGAGCACTTTGAGAACAAGAGAATTTATTCCTCCCTGTGCCAATTATATCCTCTTAACCCTTTGCACCTGCTGTCAGGCTTTTGACAGGAAAATATTTAAACCATGTAAGGATCCTTCTTATGGCATAACAGCTCTGTAGTAAAATTGGAATGGTTAGATACAGAGCCACTTTCCCGCCATAAACGCCCATGACTTTCGTAAACAAATTAAAATCAGACAACTTGAACCTTCAAGCATAGCATAGCCTATGAAAGTTTGTAGCATTCTATTATATGCAGGCAGGAATCGACCTCCACTTAAGAGAGATGAAATTGCTCAAAAATGTTTCTTCCTATATTTTTTTCCCTTCTCCCCAATGAACTAGAAAATAACTTCACACCATGGTCCTAAAATACACTGTGTGGTACCATCAGAGCAAATAGTACAAAGAATAAAAGCAAAGAATTTCTGAACTACAGGAAGACTTATTGTCTTGTTTTTATCCTTCGGGTTAGATCCCCTCAACTGGCTTCTATTGAGATCACATGCATCTCCTACTGAGTTAGCCCTTATGCTCATAAGGCTTGGGGTTAATTAGTATTTTGAAAACTTAAAATAGATCTCCACTCAATAAGTGAATTCCAGCTCTCTCTATTGCCAATAGATATTTAAGCTTACAATAACAAACCTAAGAGATCTGTTTTGGTTTTTCATGCAGTCATAAATATTTGGCACAGAAATGTGCTGCACTTCATAACAATAGCAGGCATCAGTAATATTCCATATCTCCCTCCCTCCCTGAGCTCCGCCAGGCTTAAGTACAGTAATTTAGGGGGGAGGAGAGGGGCTCTTCCATACTATCACTGTGTTGTCTCTTGTGTTCTGCATTTGAATCATACACATCTAATGAAATCTTTTGCTTTCTGTGATTTTTTGGTATATAGTCCTGGGCTTTTTCTCTTCCTCATTCAGGTCTGGCTCCTTCCAGTTTGTGCTCCTACATGAAACCTGAGCAACATTAAGGCTTTCAGTGCTTTTCTTGGTCTTTCCTTAAAGACTTGGTAAATCTGCATGTCTTGTGATTCACCTTTTTTTTTTTCTTTTTAAGTACAACGCTATAAATAATAACCGCACCTTCTCCCTGTTTTCAGTTTTCTTTTGGCATCAATTGAACATAAGAACGGCCATACTGGGTCAGACCAAAGGTCCATCTAGCCCAGTATCCTGTCTACTGACAGTGGCCAATGCCAGGTGTCCCAGAGGGAGTGAACCTAAGATTGCAACAGTTTAGGAAAGATTTTTAACTTGCGATTCTGCTACACGAGGCCTACAGCTATGCTGAACCTCCACATTCAGTTAATGCAAACCTCACAAGCCCTTACCAGCCTCAAAGATCTTACCAACATCCTTAGCTGTATTTTTCCAAAAAATTGTTAGCTGTAAACTTAAATTTTTAGCTCACAGAAAAGTGAGGAAATCGGTTTTGTTTAGTGTGTGTGTGTGAGTGATGTGATATAATGTAAAAGTTTGTTTTAAAAAAAAACCTGGTGTTTAGATCACATTTTGGAAGTTTAATACATTTAGATAAAAAAATCATTTAACCAATATTCACACAAACATTTGTCAAACCATTCTGCTTCTTCACTTCCAGGTGATCAAGATAGTTTTAATCCATCATCCTCAAATATAATATATGATGAACAGTCACCATTACCCCCCTCTGCAGTATGTGATTTACCAGTACTGGAAGAAGCTTTAGCAAATGTTCACATATCTGAGAAACTGGAAGAATCTAAGAACATTGTGCCTGAAAAGAAAAGCACTTTAACTGAAAACCACTCTGAGCTGAAGCATCTGTCTTCTACCCAGAAGCATATGAAGAGATGGGACCAGCCTACCAGTTTAGGGTATAAGCGGTCAAAAAATTTAGAATTAGTAACTGATGACCTCATTAGGAGAGACAGATCTGAGAGTCCAAAAAGATTGGGCACATCTGGGGAATCGCAGCAAGCGGGGCTCCACAGTCCAAGGAAAGGTGAGAGACAAAACACACACAGCAATCTCTCAGACCAGTCTGAGCATCCCAGGAGAGGTAATACACACTCAGAAATCAATTTAAAAGAAACTTCCAGAGGAAGCCAAGGCAGATCTGTCAGTCCCCAAAAGCATCCCAAAAAGGAAGAAAGTGGGGACAAATCAGACAAGTTACTAGAGACTCAAGATAAAATAGCTGGTGGTGGTGATATTGAGATTATTGAGCAGTTCAAAGATGGAAATGAAAAATCAGGAATAACACAGCAAGACACAAAGCAGAACATTGCTAGAAAGAATAAGAAGTGGTCTCAAGAGAGAGAAAACCCAAAAGCAGATGAAAAGACTCTTCCATTAAATAAGGCCAATGAGCCTAGGAGAAAAGTAGATGAAGATGAAAAAGGAAAGAAAGCCAGTGCTGGAGAGCCAAGTTCTAGCAACTTCAAAACTACAAGTCTTTCTGATGTTTCACAGCTTTCCAAGGAAAAAAAAAGTAGGCTCGAAACACAAGATCCAGTTATTCTGAACAAAGACCACTCAGAAAAAGACTTGGAGCCAACTGATGAAACCAAAGATGATGGAATTTCAAAAACTGAATGCAGCTCTCCAGTCAAGAAAGCACCAATAACTCCTGGACCTTGGAAGGTACCAAGTGCAAGTAAAGTCACAAAAGCAACAGGTGTCACTGAAAAACGGGTCTGACTGACAAACATTTTTAGAACATGTTTTAATCAGGTTTCTAATACGGTCAATTAAATGCATCTTTTTTCCACAAAGTTGTCATTTTTCAGAAACTAACTCCAGAGGCTGGACAGTACATTTGATTTGTTCTTAAAATTAACTAAGCTGCATGAAGGACCTTTCGGATTGCTTATAAGCAACTCTCTTCCATAAGCTGCTGTCCCCTCATCCTTTTGAAGGCAGTGTCCTGCTGCTCTCTCAACATTGCACTGCTAAGGCTTTCTCAGATAGTATTGTGAGTTTCTGAACAAACTTTCTTAATGCCTGTATTGCCAATGTGATCATGACTCACTTCTTGTTCTTGTGCCAAGTTATGTACTGTAGCCAATCAATTTCATCCTCCTTGTACGTTCTTCCCAGACACAGCAAAGCCAAGATTTTGTTTGAAAATAGCTATTTTCTCAAAGGCATGTCGCATGTTTATATAGGGGAATAACTCGAGTTCTCACAACTTCAATAAGAAGGTGAGTGTGCTGGTTCTATTAACTTTAGGGCAGCAAATGAGCCACTGATGCTGCCCCACTGGCTTCTTTTCTTAAAAGTTCCTAATACCTAATGTGACATTACTTAAAAAGAGAATTGCATTTTGTTCGGATCTATGGGGTTAGTTTTGCTTTCTGTTAGCAAAACAAAATGTTTTAATTTGCTTAATTCGTTTAAGGTAATTCTAGTAACTATCTGCAAAACACAAATTGCAAACATAATTTTGAAGACTAAGTGGTGAAATCCTGGCCCTGTTAAGTTACTGGCAAAAACATCCATTGACTTCAATGGGGCCATGATTTTACCTTGTCAGTTCTTTAGAAATAAGGAATGGACTTGGTACTATGCTTTCAACCTCCGTCTGGTACTGTTTGTCAAAGCACCACATACTATATGTTTCAAAAACACTTGGAAATGTCCCATCTTTACTTGTAAAACTAACAATTGATAGGTAAAAGCAGTATTTGAAACAGCAAATCCTGCTGTTGCAAACACAGACAGAACCAACCACAGCTTCTTTAAAAAGTCCCTCTGACCTGTGCCTACTATTAGAAGTCTCCTGTGTTTTATTTGTGTGTAATTGCTTTTGGTTGAGTGAGAAATAGATGACATACAGGGTACATGAGACTTAATATCTATTGTTTGGGCTTTAATATGTATTTAAATGTTGAGGAATGTTAACAAGATATTTTTATAGCAGTCTGCAGAAATTTCATGGATTGATTTACTCAATAGCATTCTTAATGGATTTGATTTCCTGACCTGTGCTAGGTTTTCAATGACTGAAAATAAACAGTAAAAGGAGCTGGGCCAGTTCACAAAAGCAGAGGAAAAAGGTAAGGAAAGTCGAGATCAGTTGCTGGACCCTCGTGTTAAACTAATGACTTGCCGGTTAAAAACATAACTGAGCAGCTGCTAAGTCTCACTAAACTTAAAAAAAATCAGTTCTGACTTGAAGCTAGAAACGTTTGAAATAGACAACTACTCAGCAGTAGGCTTAAATGAACAGTTCTAAAATAAATAGATTTTAAAGCACATCTGAACTGCCCTCTGCTGCTTCACATTTTATGAATCCATCAGTTTGCTGTAGCATAAAGTGTACAAATCCTCAATATTGTAGAGTTTGACTGTGAAAATATTTGAGTTAGCCTATGTAGATATTAATCCTGTATTCTTTGTTGATAACCCTGTGGGATCCTCTTTAAGAGTTGTATGCACTTGTTCTAACCATTGAGAATAGTACCAAATTCAGAAATTTAATACTAAGATGAATTAGCACCATTTCAATGGTTAACTGTCAGCAAGTACACATCCATCCAAATGCTGTTTTCTGATTGTTAACATTGTGACCTGCTTTGGTGTCCTCTGTTTGAGTCTTTTCTAGAGAACTTGTACCTGTACTTACTGTATAAGATGACTTAGCAATGTGGCCTTGGAATGCTAAGCAACATATGGATGTAAATGTTTATATATTGTACAGCACCTTTATATATACACTTCTGAGGTTCTGACTAGAGACCTGTAAATCGCTCATTATTTTTTATATAGATATATTAAAAAGAAACTCCCATTCACAGCCTGTTCATTCTTGCACTGTAAAATGTTAGCTGTAGACTGATTTTACAATGATGCGGTTTGCATTAACTGTCTTTTAGCTAAATATACAGCCCAAGTTACCCATAAACATCCATATTTTCCAATGATCGACTGCATTAGTCATCTGAAAGTTACCTTGTCTCCCTTTTCAAGTAACATACCCAATCAAATATAATATAATACCAGCTGTTTGATGGAGTTTGCTTCCATGGGTTTATTTGTATTTTAAATGTCACTTTATACATTTTTACTACTTTTCATTGTACAGAAAATAGCTTTGCATAAACAATTTACTACAAAAAATGACCTATGTCATCGTCCCTTTATGGCGTGAGATGGAACAGTGGAGTTAAAGGTATCCTTTTCTCTCAATATTAGTCCTATGACTGACTTACTATTTCTTAATTTATTGAAAAAGTCACCAGCCTAAGGAAAACACAAGCTGCACTTGCAGCAAAACAATTTCTCCTAGGGAGGTGGCTTTAGATTCTTTCCTCATACCAGTTGTAGACTTAGATCTCATGCTGAAGCAGAGGTTATCACATTCCTGCCTCTCACCTGGTTTTAACAATCAGTCCTTACCCCAGAGGGCCATTTACTTCTTTGTCCAAGGTGCTTTATCAGTAGTGTTGCATAAAAAGGCAGCTACTGTATACTTTTAGGAGGCTGTGCATTAGAACAGAGGAGTCTTCTTTTCTTCACTTTTACCACACCTCTGAATAATACTTACCTGTGTTAGAAAGGTAAGGCACTATAGAAGTAGAAAGCATTAATATTTTCCAGAATGCTTTAACAGTCCTATTGACCCACCTCCTCAAAACTCTAACCAAGTCATTACCAAAGATTAAGTGTTACATGTAAAATGTTAATTCTTCAGTTTTCTAGCTGCTACCAACATTGTGAAAAGTGTTTATACACTGATGGTGCTTTACAGATTGAGCGGTTGTAGAGAACAAGTGTTAGCATATTCCCTTGTGGAGAATGCTTTGCTTGTTCTATTAGGGCTTATCAGTCAAGAATAATGAGTTGTCTGAAGAACACTTAATTATATAAAAACTATCATCTCCCCTGGTGTGTGCAGCCGAGTCGCTTTAATGTTGCTATGCAACTGAAAGTTTAACCAAGTGCCTTTGGAGGCAATATTTACCTTGGGTGGACTGACTTTCATGAAAGGCTGCAGTAGCACAGAATAAAGGGGCAAGGTCCAAAGCAGACCTGGCCTCTCTAGCCTAAAGGCACTTAAATGAATGTTTCTTTACTTGAAGTCACTACACACATGGCACCTGTCTATCAAATGGGGCACTAGAGGAAGATGCAGTTGATGGAAAGAGGAACAGGGATCTGCTCTAATATGTAAACTAAAAAGGCACAGATAGCAGAATTTTAAAGTTTACCCCCTAACTATCCAGCACCTGGAATGTTCTGCTCAGCTGTAATGCATTTAGCCTGGACAGTTATTAGGAAAGTAAGTCCTCTTGTCAAGGCCTTAACACCATATTTTAACAAATGAAGAGCTTATTTATCTCTTAAAGCAGTAATTGGGAGTCCTAGTACTGACTTACTGCAGTGGAATTAAAGGTCTCATGTTAACGAAGAGGAAATGGAGAAGCTGCCACAGCAAGTTAGTTGTGTAACAAAGAGCCAACCTGCTGCAGTAACTTATCTATCCATATACAAATAGGCTTTAACAGGGCCATGGCCACAAGCTGTTGGATACAGAATCCCATATTGTTTTCCTACTGTTTTGAGGCCCCTCCAAAATGTCTGATTACTGCATACTTTGGCCCCTACTTAATACGGAAATGCCCTTAACAGTGTCACACTGCTGATGGACAAATCAAGTTTTGTTTACTTAGTCTACAAGTCCTGGGCTGCCCTCACAAGTCTAGTTTATTCTGTAGGCTCCAAAACTAAGCAATGTGAGAAAACATCTTCGATACACAAAGAAATATGCCAAAATTTAGGACCACCTCTGCCTCAAGCCAATGTCTTGCTTCTATCCAGTGTTGTCCTGATGGTTTGATAATCCTCACAGCATTGAGGGCTGAGCCTTGGCCAGTTCATGGTTTGATTTTCCATAACTGAAAAGAGAGGTTAGGAATTGGTATTTATCTGAGAGTCTTTAAATAAAAAAGCCAAACAAGAAATCTCTTGAATAAATGGCAGCTTCTAGTCTGACAGACTGAGATAAAACGTATCCTGTTACATAATGGTTTAGGCATGCTAGACAGTCAATGCAGCTCTGCTTCTGCGGCAGCCAAAAACTTGTAGTTTATAGGACTGTCTACTACAGCCCAAAAAACTGCTTGTGTGCTTATCTGAATGTATCCACTCACCATTCCTGCTGTCCTAACACATGAGTGGGTTTGACCCAAAGCACAGATAAGAGGGGGAAACAGGTGAAGCAATTGTGCTAATGACAGCAAGTTAGTGGCAAAACCAGAATTAGACCCAGGTCTTCTGTAAGTCAGTTGGGTTCCAGTCTCCTAGAACATGCTCCTTGCCATCTCAAATGGCAGCTGCACTTACTCTGATATTGAATCCAAGAAGATCACTTATAACGCCTGATATGGCAGACAGGATCACAACTCGTGTGATGTTGTAGATTAAAGGGTTCATAGTCAGGCCATAGAGTCTAAATGGTGTGTCTAATTCCTGTAATGAGAAAATGGAAGTTACACCTGGACCCAGTTGTAATCACCACCATTTTCAATTACTCTGATAGCCTGCTATAGCCCAGACAGACTTCTGCCAACCAGATATTGCAAAATCCATTGGTACATTAGATAGGCATCTCTGCCTCAGGGCTGAAGCATTTCACTGACACTATCATAAAGGGTGAGAATCTTCCTTATGGCAACACTTAGATCAAACCAGTGGACTGGTGAACAGTTTAGAATTTTAAAACTGGGAAGCATCTTGTAGGTGTCACACCAGGCTCATTCCCTAGTAATAAATGACTGGAATCCTAAAATTCTGCTGAGGGAGAATGAGGAAACAAGACAGTACGACTGGAATGACAAGCCAGTTCTCCACCTCCCCAGTTCTCCACCTCCCCAGTCCCTATTCTTATCCATGGTATCACCCAGCACCTCGGTCATGGACAACCCCATTGTGCTAGGTACTGTACAAAGACAGCATCCCCTACCCCAGAGAGCTTAGACAAAGACAACATATTCAGATGAGAATACAGGGAAGCAATGAGAGGATATTGGTCAGCATGACAGGCACTGGTCTCAGCACATTAGTGACCTAACTCTTGTCTTTTTTGGTAGGCAACAGAGAGTTAAGAATAGGAACTCACTTTCAGTAGCTTTGTAGACAGTTTTAAAACATTGTTCACTAGGGAGAGCTGTTCTTTCTTGTTTGGCTTCTTTTCCATCTTTAGGTATAAGTTGATCTGTGATGGAAACAGGTATTTTAGAGCAGATTTTACATTCAAGCGCTTCACCCAAGTCACAGCTGTGTTTACAACACAGGGACCGCAGACCTATGCAAAAGTCACTACCCTGCGCATGGTGCTTACTTGTGGTTTTCAAGTGCAGCAGTAATAGATTAACAAATATCCAATTTTTTTCCCAGAGTGATAGGGTTCTTCTCACCCCCCAGCCATCAACAAAAAAATTAAAAAGATTTAGAATTTGGGCCTGGGTAACTGGCTTTCTTCCTTTAAGCCTGCTGTAGGAGCTACTCTTCTATTATGAACAAATAAAAATCAAAAGGGGTCTTAAAAAAAGGCACTAAGCTGAAATGAGGGAGGAGTTCATTTGAACTGCAAAGATCACTTTCATACTAGAAAACAGTAAGCCCATGGGAGGGTGAGCTGCAGCGGAGATACCTGTTCAGTGAGCAGGATTGAAATATTACTATATTTTTTGTTAGTTTCAGAGCCCAGTGATGCCAGGCGCAGTAGAAAAAGGAGGAGGGCTGTTTCCCAGATGAGGAACTCCCAGTTGTAAGCCGCATTCAGGAAGGTTTTGTGCCCTTTTAAAACCTGTATTAAACAAAACAATGAAATTGGCAAATAGACTGAAATGTTCCTATTCACCTACTGTAGCCACTTTCATTCAACACATAGAAGCTGCTATGGCCTGTGTGACCACCATAACATCAGCCAAAGAATTCACCACTCCCAAATACATGAATAAAGGTAGGACAATAATTAAAGTGAAGTGAGACCAGTCTATATCAGCCTGATCAATACATTAATATTCACTCCCTTTATCCCTGCCATCTGATAGTTAGATACATTGGGCAGCACTCTTCAGAGAAAGTGCATTTTGATTGTTAAAGGAACTGGTTGGATGAGTCTTTCCCTCAGCACACATGAAACTGGATCCCAACATTACTACATTCAATGCAAAGCCAAAGTTGAGATGGGCAGTTAACTAGCAAAAGCGTAAGCATTCATCTGCAGCACAATTAAACCATTTTGCAAACTGTTGCTAACAACTATACTTATCTACAAAAGGGAAAAAAAGCCTCTCTGGAATCTATTTAAGGACAAAAATCCACCTGCAAAGCAGTTACCAGTTATATTTCGAAGAATATTTTCACTGTTTTTTTATTGCTCACAGAACATAAAATGTGAGTCTCACCTGTGCACAGCATATGAAAGCAATTGATAGAGCCAATAAAAAGACTGAAGAGACAACTACATCCACAGATCGCTGGGGCCCTCTCCTCTGTGGAAACAAAAATGTTTAATCAGATCTGGGAAACCTTTTGCATTTCAGTAAAAGATAGCACAAATATAGCAATAGTTTTCAGCTACTCAGGAAAAAGTTGTAAGATCCTGAACTCCAGCTTCTGTAGCAGCTGGAGTCCACCTGCAACCTTCCACCAACTTAGTTTACACCATTTGCTTTAGTCTGTTAACATTTAAACATATACTTGCACTCTTTGGATCACGACTTGCCTTTAGATAGGAGCGCAGTGATAACCAAATTTTAATATTCTCCACCTTCTTGAGTCTGAAGTGGGGGATTTCATACTTCCTGGCTTTCCGGGCAGATGTTATGTGACTAAAAAGTTTGGCAAACAAAAACCGCTGCAAAGAAAAGTGTGTCAGTAAAGAAAATCCACATTGATATAGTCTAATGTTAGCATCCATATGGTGCTTAGTATAATATGTATGTTAGTTGCTAAACAAATTATTTGTGCTTGCCAGTGGTAGGAATAACATTCCTGTACAAGAGGAAACCATGACAGCTTTAGTATCTCTCTCACTTAAAGGATAACAATCATCCCAGTATACCACATCTACAACAACAGTAGCAAACTAGCAAACCTGTTAGCCACATTTCCTTGTGGAAGGATGTGATAGATAAAAATACACATCCTTATAACCTGGGCCCATCAGAGGATTTGTCTTTAGGGCAATCAAATCCAGCCAGGCAGCTGTAGTCTTTAACCTTGCTGTCACATTATTTCCTGGTGGACTCTTATTTCTCATTCTAAGACGAGTCTCATAACTGTAGGCTTCACAGTATGGTAGGGCTAATAACTTTTCCTAGATTGCTCCAATTTGCCCCAGACTTGTAAGATAGCAAGTACTTAAGGTTAATTTCCTTTCAGCAGTACGGAGAAAAAATAGCAAGCTTTAAAGACTAATTCATGGTGGAAGTTAGTCATTGCATCTCTCAGGGGAAGAGACCTGCCACAGCACCTCAGGTATAAAGATATCCCAGCATTCCCCACAGTGTCTTACTGCTCCCAAACATGCACCTCAGCAGCTGCTTTAAGAGGGGAAGCAATGACAGCAGCTTGAATGTTGCAACAGAAATGTGCATGTTCATGAAAAGTAACTCAGCACATTTAGACAAACCTGTTTGTACGTTCTCTCAGCAACACACATCATAAAGAAAAACATCCAAGTCAGGCAGAGACGCTCAAGGAAGTTAATCACAGCCAAGACAATGACAGGGGTGATGGTAGGAGCCCCACAAAAGATATTCAAAAGTTCCTTCACTGAAATGGATCGCAGCTGTTCAAGATTCTTTGTATGGAAGAGCCGGTAGAGGAAAGGAAGACATGCTAACCCAATGGTGACAACGTTTCCCAGCATCTGATAGCCTACTCCCTGCTGATAGGCATTAACCTGGAGAATAGGCAAATATCATTAGCACTACATGAGCTACAACTAATTTTTTAAATTACTGTAAGTACAATATTAAAAAACCAATAGGGGAAAATCCTCCAATTCTAAAACTCCATTAGGAAACCTGTATGTGTAAGTACATACATAACCTTCTGCTTCAAAGAAACAGTATTTGGTGTGGCTGTAAGATAAAGTTCAGCCATTACACACTTCATCTTTCCACTCACTGAACTCAGAACACAGCAAGGGCGCAAGAATAAACCAGGAAATATACTAGAAAAGTTACAGCGAAATAAAATGATTCCATATTATGACATCACTTCCTCCCCCTTACAATGACCTATCCATCTCCCCCTCTCCATGGCCATCTCACTTCTGAGAAAGGTGCAAGACTGACCAAAATAGAGCAACAGCCGTAAGCCACTAATTTTAATTGCACTAAAAGCTTCCAACTCCTTGTGGCTCAGAACAGGGAATAATGTCAACATGAGGTAAGCATCTACTGATAAAAGGCTATGTATTATTTTACTGTCATTCTTAGACCAGGGGTCATACCCTCTGCTTCAAATTAATGTATTTTCTTAAATCCCTCTGCAATTACTAGTTAAGAGTATTTAGGACCATCTTTAATAAAAGGTACTTGGACTTGTACAGTTTGCAGATGCATCACAATTTAGGGCACATCTACATTATGATGTTGCTGATAAAGCAGCTTATGCCAACCAAATTATGTAAGCATATGCACTACAGCGCTCCTCCTGCAGCTGTAACTTGCCCACTACGTCGACCTAGTAAATCCACCTCGATGAGATGCTTTAGGCATAGGTTGACGTAGTTCAGACAACACACTCTCTGTATAGACATTTACTTGCATCACCTGTTGTCTGTCAGGGTGGCTGACAGCCAGATCCATGAAATTGACAAATGTCAATTTCCCTGCTGGTAGGGTTCCTGTTCTGCAATTGAGCAGGGGGGTGTTCCAGCTGTGAGCTCCAGCTGTCAGCACTGCTTTGCTGCCCAGCGCTGAGAGCCTAGATTGTGGGCACCCTGCAGAGCTCTCAGCTCCACACTCCGCAGGGAGCTTGCTTCACGGGGAGTGCAGAGCTGAGAGCCTGGGTGGCAGCTGGGAGCTCAGCCTAGAGCTTAGGTCAGTGCAAGTGCTCCTGGTGAGAACACACATCGCTGACAGGAGGGTAGTGTGGACATGAAAATCTGCAGTAATTTATTGCTGTGGCTGTAAATCAATCTAACATAAGTAGACTTAACTTTGTAGTGTAGACATGCCCTTAGAAGGGGCAGGGGTGTGGGGGTAGAGAGAAGAGGAATCAGTCCTTACTCTGCTCATGATAATCCCGCTCATCTCCAGCACAGACATGTCCACCTTCTTGCACTCACTTCCCTCCCAGATCAGGGCACTTACTTTTGCAGATGCAGGGCTCGTATTCTGAAGCCAGAACAAATGCTTCTGGAGAAGAAAATGCAACACATACAACATACTGAAAACATTTCTCAACTATCTACAGGAAATGGTTTCAAAATAGGCAGCATTTTTATTGAAAATGTTTGTTTGAATATAGTTTTAAATTTCAACATGGAAACTATAAATTATTAAAGGAAAAATTGTCTGCATATACATCCAACAGCATCTAGCACAAGGCCTTGAGCCTGATTGCGACTCTGAACATAACGGCCACACTGGGTCAGACCAAAGATCTTCCGACAGTGGCCAATGCCAGATGCCCTAGAAGGAATGAACAGAACAGGTGATCCATTCCCTGTTGCCCATTCCCAGCTTCTGGCAAACAGAGGGTAGGGACACCATCCCTGCCCAATAGCCATTGATGGACCTATCCTCTGAATTTATCAAGTTCTTTTTTGAACCCTGTTACAGTCCTGCCCTTCACAACATCCTCTGGTAAAGAGTGCCACAGGTTGACTATGCATTGTGTGAAGAAATATTTCCGTGTTTGTTTTAAACCTGCTGCCCATTAATTTCATTTGGTGACCCCTATATGTTCTGAGAAGGAGAAAACACCACTTTACTCCACACCAGTCATGATTTTATAGACCTCTATCATATCCCCCCCCCCCCCTTAGTTGTCTCTTTTCCAAGCTGAAAAGTCCCAATCTTATTAATTTCTACTCATATGGAAGCTGTTCCATGCTCCTAATCTTTTTTTGCCCTTTTCCAATTCCAATATACCTTTTTTGAGATGAGGCCACCAGAGTTGCATGCAGTATTCAAGATGTGGTCGTACCATGGATTTATAGAGAGGCAATATGGTATTTTCTGTCTTATCGATGCCTTTCTTAATGATTCCCAATGTTGTTTTTTGACTGCCACTGCACATTGAGTGGATGTTTTCAGAGAACTATCCACAATGACGCCAAGATCTTTCTTGAGTGGAAAGGGCTAATTTAGACCCCATCATTTTATATGTATAGTTGGGTTTATATTTTCTAATGTGCATTACTTTGCATTTATCAACAACATTCAATTTTTCTGCCATTTTGTTGCCCAGTCACCCAGTTTTGTGAGCTCCTTTTAACTCTTCAGTCTGCTTTGGACTTAACTATCTTGTAGTTTTGTACTATCTGCAAGTTTTGCCACCTCACTGTATACCATGTTAAATACTGGTCCCTGTACAGACCGCTGGGGGATACCACTATTTATACCTCTCCGTTCTGCGAACTGACCCTTTATTCCCACCCCTTGTTTCCTATCTTTTAACCAGTTAGGGATCCATGAGAGGATCTTCCCTCTTATCCCATGACAGCTTACTTCGCTTAAGACCCTTTAGTGAGGGACCTTGTCAAAGGCTGTCTGAAAGTCAATATACAATATATCCACTGATCACCTCTGTCTACATGCTTGTTGATCCCCCTCAAAGAATTCTAGTAAATTGAGACATGATTTCCCTTTACAAAAACCATGTTGACTCTTCCCCCAAATCATATTCATCTGTGTGTCTTGTCTGATAATTCTGTTCTTTAGGATTGTTTAAAACAATTTGCCTAGTAATAAGGTTAGGCTTACTGGCCTGTAATTGCCAGGATCACCTTGGGAGCCAATTTTTAAAAATTGCCATTAGCTATTCTCTAATCATCCAGTACAGAAGCGGATTTAAATGATAGGTTACAGACGACAGTTAGTAGTTCTGCTATTTCACATTTGAGTTCCTTCAGAACTCTTGGGTGAATGCCATCTGGTCCTGGTGACTTATTGCTGTTTATCAGTTTGTTCGAAAACCTTCTCTAATGACACCACAATCTGGGACAGTCCCTCAGATTTGTCACCTAAAAAGAGTGGCTCACATTTGGGAATCTCCCTCACATCCTCAGCCATGAAGACGGATGCAAAGAAAACATTGAATTCTTCTACACTGGCCTTCTAGCAGTGGTCACCAACCAGTCAATTGGAATTAACTGGTTGATCCTGGAGGATCTCCCAGTCAATCGCAATCTCCAGCTGCGCAGCAAGGCTGCTGCTAAGACTGGCTTCCTGCTTGCCCCAGCCCCACACCGCTCCTAGATGCAGATAGCGCGGCCTTGCAGCCTTCAGGGCAGCAGGGGGTCTCTCTCCACGCGCTGCTCTTGCCTGTAAGCACCACCCCCACAGCTCCCATTGACTGGGAATAGGGGGCTGTGGCCAACAGGAACTGTGGGGGCAGTGCTTGCAGAGAGGGGCAGCACACAGAGCCATATGCCACCTGCCTCCCTCCCCACCCCAGCAGGGCTGCAGGGGCACATTGGCACTTTCCAGGAGTGGCGTTGGGGCCAAGGTAGGCAGGGAGCCTGCCTTAGTGGCAGCCACACTGCGCCACCAACCAGTAGCCACTGGAGGTAAGTGCTGCCCAGCGGGAGGCTGCACCCCAACCACCAGCCCCTTCCCAGAGCCTGCACCCCAAGCCCCAGCCCTGACCCCCCTCCCAGAGCCAGCACCTGCACACACCCTCCTGCACCCCAACACTCTGCCCCAGCCCTGAACCCCTTCCCAGAGCCACCACCCTGTACCACCTCCTGCACCCCAGCCCAGAGCCCCCTCCTGCACCCAAACTCCCTCCCAGAGCTTGCACCCCTGCCCCAGGCTGAGCCCAGAGCCCCCTCCACACTGCAAACCCCTCAGCCCCAGCCCAGAGCCCACACCCCTTCCCAAATCCCTACCTCAGCCTGGTGAAAGTGAGTGAGAGAGAGGGGGGATGGAGTGAGTGGGTGGGGCTTTGGGGAAGGGGTGGGGCAGATCCTGGGTTGCCCTTAAATTCAAAAAAGGTTATCCTGGGCATAAAAAGGTTGGAGACCACTACCTTATAGTCTTTGATTACTACTTTAACATCTGAACCAGTGGGGCCACCGGATGATTGTTTAGCAGACTTCCTGCTTCTGAGGTACGTAATTTTTTGTTGTTGTTGCTACTTCAGTCTAGCTAGCTGTTCTTCAAATTCTTTTTTGACGTTCCTAATTATATTTTTATACTTCACTTGCTAGAGTTTATGCTCCCTTCTATTTTCCTCAGTAGGATTTACCTTCCATTTTTTTAAAGGATGCCTTTTTGCCTCTATCTTTTACTTTATTTTTTAGCCATGGTGGCACTTTTTTGGTCCTCTTTATGTTTTTTAATTTGGGGTACACATTTAAATTGAGCCTCTATTATGGTGTCTTTAAAAACTTTCCATGCAGCTTGCAAGGATTTCACTTTTGGCGCTGTACCTTTTAATTTGTTTAACTTCCTCATTTTTGTGTAGTTCCCCTTCCTGAAATTAAATGCTACTGTGGTTTCCCCTACCTGGAATGTTAAATTTTATTTTATAGTCACTATTATCAAGTGGATCAGCTGTATTCACCTCTTCGACCAGATCCTGTGCTCCACTTAGGACTAAATCAGGAATTGCCTCTCCTCTTGTAGGTTCCGGGACTAGCTGCTCGAAGAAGCCGTCATTTAAGATGTCAAGAAACTATCTCTGCATCCCATCCTGAGGTAACATGTACCCAGTCAGTATGGGGGTACTTTAAAGCCCCCATTATTATTATTGAGTTTACTTGTATGGCCTCTATCCCCCTGAGCATTTCACAGTCACCCTGGGTGCTATTACTAATAAAGTGATAATATTACAGGCTTCCTACTGTAACACTGAAGACTGAAATGCTAGATCCAAAGAGTGAGAAGCTATGATTAGTGCATATGCACTCCCCTGAACTAGGAGAATATAAATAAAAAATAGTATCTTCCCACCCAAGTTTTAGAGGCTATTGTGATGCTTTCATAGCAAGAACTGTTGTGGCTGGGATCCTGAATTTCCACACTCTTTCCCTCAGGATACTTTTGCTAAATAGAATCAGGGTTCGAGTCTATGTGCCAGAGCATTCGTGCATCCTGTTCAATGCTTCCCTCATTTATTTTTACATTCATATTTCACTTTAAGACAGCCAACCACAGTCTAGGTACTGATGGTAACTTGTTTTATAAATCCGAAGTAAGATAATATCTATGCTCATCATTGAATTTTACAGGAATGTCCATCTGCTAAATCGTGTCCATCCTCAGAGGAAACAGATTAGGCCATGGCGCTTTTATTCATTTTGACCTGGCAAAGTCAACTTCTAGCAATGTGTTTGCACAAGTTACAACTACAGAATTTACTTCTTGTGTTATTTTAGAGGGTACAAGTTACATCAAAAGAAAAATATTTCATAGGCTTCTCATCTATTGCAAGTGGTTAAACAGACCTGTTGGAAAACATCGTCTTTCAGGTCCCGTTTACTTCCTTTTACATTCCCTTCCTCGCTGTCACTGGTGTAGGAAGAACGGCACTCTGGTCCATGAAGCAGATCATCCCAGAGCATGTCCTCTGTCTCAGAGTCATGGCGGGTGCTTTCAGAGTCTCTCCGAGACACACTGCAGCTCTGGGACCCACCACTAAAACAAGACCTTGATTCCTTTAAAGAAAAAGGAAGTTTACAAACGTAACTTCTCCATACTGAGCCTTCAACAACAAAAATCATTTTTTAATCTTCAAGTAATATGTTCACAACCACATGGTCAAGCCAAGCCAACCTGAAGCCACTATGACAAGCTAGAACAGAAAGGACATTTCTACAGAGGGATGCTTTTGCGACATGAACTCACAGCAACAAGCTATTAATGTTTTCCCACCTTCAGAATAACTTACACTAATTTCATGAAAACTCTGAAGGCCAGGAAAATGGAACCAGAACTTAGAATACATTTTAATAGCTTCGTCCTCATTGTGGGACGGAGTTTAGTGAGAATTTCTACAGCTGGAAAGGAGACTTACTACTTTATTTCTATGAAAAATAGAATTTTTAGAATGCCTGATGTTTACTCCAATACAATGTTATCCTCCCAACAGCCAAGTTTCTAATGAAGAGTGATTAGAGGCCTCTGAGCGTGCTGCTGCTACCAATAGAATTTCATAAATTGAATGTTAAGTTCAAAATTCAAAGCACTGAAAAGGTACAAAAATTATGGAGTTTAAATGGTCAGTTACAAAGCTCTTAAAAAAAAAAAACAACTCTTACCTGGAGGAGACAATCTTCATCTAAATTCTTCCCTGCTTTACAACCTGGAAAGACTATAATCCCAAATACACAGTTGAGGGCCGTGGAGTCTGCCTGGTTTAACCTGTCTCCCTTGGTACTGCAACAACCACTATGCCTTTCAGACTATGCAGGCAGTAAACAATGGGGTCAAATGAAAGCATTTTGCATTGGAAACAAATCTCATACACTTCTCTTGTGCTGTAATCTATTATGATCCACAAGCAGGGAGTATCATGTCATATGAATGCTCACAGAATTTCATTTTTTGCAGATCTGACCGTAAGACAGGGCTGTATAAAAGTATCAACAGGGGAATGACCAGTGGGAAACCAAGACAGCATTGAGTGTGACAGCCCAGGATTCCAAGACTGCTTAAAGCTCTGGAAGGAAGACTGATCGACAGCTTCGCTCCTCTGGAAGTGTGAGCAATAAGAGTAAAGTCTGAGTGGAACAGAGAACCTTCTCAGAAGCTAGTCTGAGACTGTGAAACTAACTCCTCAAGGAGCTAAGGACTATCACAAACCTCACCACTTTCTGTTCCAAGTGCAACACACAGCAACAGGTATATTTAACAAAACACACCCTATCAAAATAAGACATCGTTGCACACACTTATCCCTCTGGGCAGAGGATGAGAGAACAAGTGACATCTGGGTAGTCACGTGCTCAATGCACTACTGCAAGGCATTCAGATACTACAGTGATGAGCATCGTATAAAAACCTGAATAGAACAGATGTACCACTCTGCCCACCTTAAATGATGCAAAGGTCTCTGGTATTTTAGAACCCCTACCTGACTAAAGGCTGTTGAGTCTAGTTCAGATTCTTCCACACTATCGGACTCTCTGGTACCTTTAATGGCTTGATTGACCTGCCATAAATAAAAAGGAAAAGTTAGTTGAGAGCCAATAACAGTAAACTTCATGGAATCTTAAGGTAAACCAACAGAACTACCTGTGAAACTGACTGGTTTGAAGTAGTAAGAGGTCTCCTATTCTTGTCTTCGTAGCTATTGTCACTGGAGGCCCCTTCTACACTTCTGCGTAACAAAATCCTCTGTGCCATGGCTTCAGCATCCTCTTCACTTGACAGCTCATCAGAAATGCCACCCATATGTGTGCCGCCCTCCTGGAAGAAAAGCAACCATCTAAACAAACTAGAAGATGGGGCTAATAAAACTAAGCAGATCTGCATCAAGCAGAAGTATCTGGCCAGTATTACCATTGCAATGTTGTGGTTACCAACAGTGTGAATTCCAGACTAATACAGTAGCCAATAAAAGGGAAATTACTTCTACAAGTACAAGCAGAACGAGGAGTTAAAAGAATCAAACAAGTTCTACAACTAATGGGCCAGCCCTGTCATTGCAGCAGTGGAAAGGGGGGGAGAAACATCCAACCTCTCCAGCAGCTAAAACAGAAAAGGAGGTAATTCAACTCCTGATCTCCTCCCCCTTCATTTCCACAGCCTGATGCCTCAAAGGCCAGCAACATCCACAAGTCTTTGTGTGACCCTGGGCATGTCATGAAAGCTGTGGCCCAACAACCAAGTCTATTCCCTCCCTGAATGCCTTCTTCATGTATTAGAGACTTTGGGAGCACTGCTATTCTTGTCTAAGTAACTCTCACCAATCCCAAAGTCTTCATTTTAGTGCTTGCACAGATAAAACTTTGGTTTTTAAGGTCACATACAAAAATTCCATCAGGTGAACCTGAATTATCTCCCAACAGAAGGACACACTAATTGTTTGCAGGGCAGATGTTTTACATAGTAGAATTTTGAATTCTGTTTGTTTTTAAATCAACCAACCTTTGAATTGAAGACCATCCAAATAAACAAGCATTTCAGTATAAAGAGGCCTCCTTTATTCTTCCCACAGGTTTCCATGTTTAGCATATTTATGTTCTATTGTAAGTTAAAATGGAGTTTATATTTACATCTGACATTAAGGCACCAGCACCAAGTCAGTCATGACTGAAGGATTAATGCAGAAAGGAATTTTCCAATAATGACTCAATCTTACCCGATGACTCTTCTCCCCATCTGAAAGTCTCTCTCTCTCTTTGAAATGCAGCAGCCTATATTCGGATCTGGAAAGTCTGTGCTTAATGCCACTATACACAGAACTCACACCACTTTCTGTTTCAGTCCCTTTATCAGCTACCAATTTCACCCTCCTTAACCTGGGGAATCAAAATGCAACAGAACGGTTCTGACTTCAGAGCAAAGCTCTTGATAGGATAATGTCAATTTACTCTGTCACTTGCCTGCCTGGTGCAGAATTAAGCAATAGCTGAGAGGCTACAGAATTATCTCAATTTCAGGCACATCACGGCCCTGTCTTAGAGGGAACATAAACCTACTCAATTGTCAAATGCCAGCTCCCAAATGTCCTACAGATTCTAAATCCAGGGGGAAGGCAGGATTCAGGAGTAATTAAGTAAAAAAAGTAGTTAAAGGAGAAACTTTTTAGGTACCTTTTTAAATAGTAACAGAAGGTGGCAGCTTAGATCAGAGGTTAACAATCAGGAGATTAAGTTTCCAGCTAAAAAAACAAAACAAAACTCAGCTGGGAGAGGGGATAGAAGGGATGAACCCAAATAGTGCATCTTCCTTTTCCCTGGTTTTCATCATGTCTTAGAAAATACTTTAAAAAATGATCTGATCAGGTTAAACCAAGGGTAAACTGACTCTGAACTGAGCAAAGCAAGGTAACTAAATATGGGACTTAAGGGGGAGTTGAGTACATATGCTTAGGAGGGTCACTCAGAGACTAGAGAAAGCCTCTAACACTCTGCACAATTGTGTTTCTAAAATAGGCTACCAAAATTGTCCCATATCCAGAATGAGGACAAATATATGGACTCCTAATAAGACAGATTTCCTCCAATGGCAGTGCTTCTTGGATTTAGTTTAAGAACAGCTGTAACTTGTGCAGTTTGGGAATGTGAGGCTGATACTTAATGAGCATTCAGAAAACAAACAGAATGCTTATTAACTGTTCATACACTACAAACACTCACACCCTCCTGGTGCACCATACACACCTCCTGCGGAAGATCATGCCAAACAAACTGTTGATGATGGATGTAGGTTCCAACTGCTTGTCTCCTTTATTGGCTTTGTCAGAGGAAAACCAGCTGCCAGCATCTCTGCTCCCATCACTACCCACAGGTTTGCGTAATTTTCTACTTAAAAAAAGAGTGGGGAGAGAATTTAATTTGCATCTTTACACCCTAAAAACCACGTACCAAATCCATACACCACTCTAGCTGCTTTTTCAAATGCGTCATGCAGATACTGGGGTCAATCCCCCTCAAATATGCACGGGTAATTTTTACTAGCATCAGCAGGAATTAGATTTATGTCCCCAGGGGAGAATACACACTAGTACCACAAAGGATTTAAGTGGATAATTATACAAGATAAACATGGAAAAACAGTCTGTGTGGAAATGTTGTAAGGGTAGTAGTTACAGCCTCTCTCTCAGCAGGAAGACTGCACTGAGACTGACAGTGGGCAGTTTTAAATTAAAAAGAGTTGCAATGTCTCCCATGCAACAAAAAAAAGGCAAGAAACATCCCTCAGAGTCACATGTTATCCTTTGCCTCCTCTGAAGGTGTATGAGAAGCCTCTCAGTTAATGTAAGTGTAAAACATTAGTCAAGTTCCCAAAGCCATAAGTGTGATGTGGTTTGTAGAGCACACACTACTGGCCACAGAAAGAAACTGGACTACCAAGTTTCCATTAGAACAGTCCAACTGCAAAGTAGAGAATAAAGGGGACGTAACATGGCCAGACTTCCTGAGTGATACAGCACTTATGAAAGCTGTGAAAGGGGGAAGAAGGTGGGCTATCCATGATCAAGCATAGGGTACATATATCCCTGCATTTTACAGTCACATAATATATTTACTTAAAACAGCAGCAAATGAGACCTTTATCCAGTAACTTGACACTGTACCATATTACTCTGATTCCTACAAATAATTAGCACACAATTAGCGCCCTGTTTCATCTCACCTCCGCCTCCTGCTGCTGCTGCTTCCATTGGTTCCCGGGGGTTTGTTGATCTGGGTGGACACGATCTGACAGTGAACAGTTCCCATCAGTAGCATAAGGCACATTGGTCCAATGATTTCACTTGCACTTGCAACAGGTATCATGAAATACAACACGACTGCTATAACTGAAAGAGAAATTGGATCAAATGCAAAAGCTACCCTGGGAATTCCCTACCTATGGGTGAAAGGGGCATGTCTCTGTTTTTATTACTGTCCCAATGATTTATTTTGTTCACTTTAAAAGCTTTTGCAGATACTAACTCTACCCTCATTTTTATGTGGCCCTGGTACTACTACTCTGAAATTCCTTCTTTCTTTGCAATGTGATTTGTAAGTATATTAAAACAATAGAAAACAGAACCACAAAAGGGATCAAAAGTGTGCATCAAAAAATTACTTTCCTCTGCCAGAATGTGCTCTATGAAAGCCATTTACAATCTTCAGAGGACACAGTTCCAGCTCACTTCAAGAAATGACCGTTACAGAAGCTGGACTGACAGAGGAGCTGCATGTCAGGATATACAGTACCTTCACTAAGTAGGTTCTTCGCCAAAGCAGGGTGGGGTAGGCAAATTATCCACAGAACAGGTCTAGCATGTGCGGTGCCAAAGTAAGTTTTCCCCCACCCTGCGGCCTCATTTCTAACCTGGAAGATCACCTCAAAAGGAGGCGAGGGGAGTCCAATCCCAGCATGAAGGACCAGATATCAAATATTCCTGGAACTGCATGGAAAAATCCCTGGGGACCAGGACAACAGTAAAAGGCTGCTTAAATTCAGAGATTTTGAGGCCCAAAGGAATCATGATCTAATCTCCAGGGTATAACAGGCTGGAGAATTTCACCCAGTGATTCCTGCATCAAACCCACACCTTCTGGTTGAGCTAGAACAGGAGTTCTCACGCTGGGGGATTGGGACCCCTCAGGGGGTCGCAAGGTTATTACATGGGGAGGTCATGAGCTGTTGGCCTCTCCCCCAAACCCAGCTTTGGGTCCAGAATTTATAATAGTGTTAAATATATTTGTGTTTTTTAATTTATAAGGACAGGATCACACTTAGAGGCTGGCTATCTGAAAAGGGTCACCAATACAAAAGTTTGAGAACCGCTGAGCTAGAACGTCTTAATATAAACTAATGAAGTTGCCTGAACTATGGTGCCCACAGCAGCTTCAACAGAATGTATTGGAAATGCTAATCCCATTTTACCTAGATGCTTATTCAATGCTGCCCTTCCCTCCCCTACCCCACACACAAGAGCACTTCCCCATCTGTAAAATGGGGCTAAATTCATTAACGTGTGTGAACTGAACCATAGATTAAACCAGTGGTTCTCAACCAGGGGTATGTGTACCCCTGTGAGTATGCAGAGGTCTTCCAGGCGGGTACATCAACTCATCTAGATATTTGCCTAGTTTTACAACAGGCTACATAAAAAGCACTAGGTAAGTCAGTACAAACTAAAATTTCATACATTTCATACTTGTTTATCCTGCTCTATGTACCCTATACAGAAATGTAAGTAAAGTATTTATATTCCAATTGATTTTTTTTATAAGTATATGGTAAAAGTAAGCAAGCAATTTTTCAGTAATGTGCTGTAACATTTATGTATTTGTCTGATTTTTGTAAATAGTTTAAGTGAGGTGAAACTTGGGGTACACAAGACAAAGCCTCCTGAAAGGGGTACAGTAGTCTGGAAAGGTTGAGAGCCACTGGATTAAGTGACTTGTCCAAGGTTAAAAGGAAGTACTAGATAGGAATTTAACCCGGATCTCTCAATTATATGAGCCCTGGTCCACTGCTTCAACCACAAGACCATCTTTCCTCCCTTTTGCTGAATCAAATGTAACAGTCATGTGAGTACTCTTAGGGTAGATTAGAAGGTGGAACCCAAGAAGCATGTGGCATGGAAAGCTGTGCAGTGTCTGCAAGTAGTGAACAAACACTTCAAAGCTGCATCCTTACCATTGCAAATGGCATTAGCGAACAATAAGAATCTCATGTTTTTCATAACCACAAACAAAAGATGGCACAGCACCCTCCAATGCTTACCTTGCATGAGGTAAAGGACCAGAAGCCACATAAAAATACGCTGGGATGTAACCCGAATCCACCAACGGCTGAATAATGGAAAAAACACAACCCGCACAATCCCCTTTCTAGTTAGTGACGTCCATGGGATTTCAGGCTTGGCTTTGGCAAATGTGGAGCCTTGAAAATACACAATGTATAGGTAGTTCAAATGGGAGTTCTAGCCAATGCTTTATTTGTAACTAAGGCTAAGATTTTGTAACAGAGGTCATGGAAGTCACAGAATCCATGACTTCCAGAGACCTCAGTAACATTTTTCCTTCAACCCTGAGGCAGCAGGGATGGGGCTCCCCTGCAACTCCCAGCTGCTACTGTGGGAGGATCCCACAGCTCCCAGCCACCAGGGGCAGACCCCACAGCTCCAAGTTGCTGCCAGTCGCAGGGGAAGCCCTGCGCTCTCAGCCATCACTGGAGCCCCAGCGGGTGCTGGACTCACCTCCCTCCCCATTTTGTCAGTGATTTTTAATAATCAGGGACAGGTCACAGGCTTCCATGAATTTTTGGTTCTTGCCCATGACTTTCACTAAATATAACTGATAAAAATCTTAGCCTTACTTATAACTTCTTCCCTAGACAAGGCCAAACTCCCTCAAATACAGTATAATTTGAAATGGGAAAGGAAAGAACTCAAACTTCAGCCACTCACCAGTTCCATCAATCCAAAATCATATGAATCCCTTCTCCTCCTCTCAGCCCACTTGCCCAGTCCCAACTACCTCTATCTTACGTAAGCTGTCATCCACAACACCAACCCATAATGACCACCCTTCTCCCCTCCTCCCCCAGGCATTATCTACAACCTCAGCCCTTAGCTGATCATGCTGTGGTTCCAGCAAGCCTCCAGTCCCTCTGCCAGGTGTCACGCTCTGGGCAGTCTGTGTCCTCTAATGCTAATTTCTAGCACTGCTGACCCATGATCTAAAAAGCTGTCCTTTCAGAAACCAGACAGTGGTATTAAATTATGTCAGACCTAGGTAAAAGGTAAGATATTCCTCTTCCCACTATTGTGTAAAGCAGAAGTGTATGTCACATTTAACCTGGGGGCATTTGATACAACCTCTATTATTCAAAGGATACCTACCTCTGATTAAGTCAACATCTATCAGGTCAGGCTGTATGTGGCCCTTTTTTTTTGGTTTGTTTTTGAAGCCCTGCAAATTTAAAAATAAAGGATTATTAATTTTTGAAGTGAATAGAAAAGACTGCCTGCATTTCTTTTACTCTGATCTCTCCAGAAACCACGATAATCTCCAGCACTAACATCAGGCACCTCATTCAATACTTCTAGTGCTCTTCTGGAGACAAGTTTATTAGTCAAAGATCCTATTTATATTTATTTATTTAAGCTCTCATTTAATATTTATTTTAAAACAAGACTGCACCCTGCAGGAACCACAGTTAGAGCCACTACTTCCATTTCCTGGGGATAAAGAGGAAAGAGGCCACTGCACCTGTGACTGGTCAGCTGACTCCCAGTTAATCTTAAAAGAGGACACCTGGGCCCTGGAAAGGAGATAGAACAGGCCAGATACAGGAAGCATGGGTAAGAGCTGCCTGAGACTCAGACAGGAGCACCGAGGAAGAGCTGGCAGAAGTTGCTTAATGGAGCTTCAGGAGACCCAGTGGAGAGACCTGAGCTCAGATGGGAGTGTAACAGGACTACTGGTAAGAAATTTCCAAAGCTGGAAACCCTTAACAAGCAGAAGGCTTAGCCAGTGATCTCTTGGAAAAAGAGGAAGATCCAAACTCATAAGCAGGAGGGTAGATTGGCAGTAATAGACAATGACATCACTTGTTAGTAAAGGATATAAAAAATAAATTCTTAGTATTCATTGCTAATACCTGCCTGACCAAGTTGGAGCTGACCAATATGGGTCTAAGCAGCCCTGGGTTTAACCAGTTTGTAAGCATCTTCATCAAATGCTTATAAATGTTTTGTTACTGTTTGGATGTAGTAAATTGCTTATTTTTTAGGCAAATTTAGAGAAATGGGGTAAATTCTGTTCAGCTTTTGGATTTAATAAAGGAACTTATGGTTAAATTAGTTGTGGTAGTATCCTGCATAAATAACACCAATATTGCCATTAGTCATTGAGTAATATCTGAAAATAGATTGTCAGTTCTTCAGGGCAGGGACTAGGTCTTTTCATTTGTTCTATAAAATACCTAGCACTTTGGCAGTGTATAAAATAGTAAAGTTCAGATTGATTTTTTTTCTCTTAAACACAAAATGTACTGTACAGTAAGTATATCTATGGCATGCAGTGCCTTTCATTGTGTGGGCTTCTGGGATTTGCATTAAGCAGAACTGGTGCAGCCACATAACAGGGGCCAATAAATAGCATGGGACAAACAGCAAATTCAAAAAAAATTGAATGAAAAAATTACCTTCATCTCAGTCTGTTCTATAGACTTTTCCCATATCTGTTGGTCATAGGCTCCAATCTGAAAAAATAAATTCTTTACATGACAAAATCCTTCAATTTACAACAAACCAAAACAGGGTGGATAAAATTTGATTTAACAAAACCTGATTTTTTATTTAATACAGGTAAATTTAAAATTAAATTTGAAATGACAACCTATGTTAAGACCTTAAGTTACCATAATCTATTAGTGACTTAAATATAAAAATATTTAGTACATATTTCCTACCAATTTTTTAAAAGTCAAACTACTGAACTGCTGAAAATCACTGGCTAACTTGTCAAAGTGCTAAACCAGCTTTTGACAGCAGTAGGCTCTTCTGCAGGCAAATAGATTTTCTTCATTTCAGTTTTAGTTCAGTTTAATGACTTGATTAATTCATTTGAAGTTAAGAAACCAACTGGGAGTTGAAAAAGCAGGAAAGCTTGTTTCCCTCTTCCAATCTATAAATAAACCTAGGTGTGGGAGAATGAGATGCATTAGTTATAAAATCTGGAACTACATGGTGACCAGAAACAATCAGTTCAAATACTTTAACTCCGCTAGTTATAAATTCAAAATGTTTTGATTTTAAAAAATTAGTACCCAGAAAATTTAAAGTAGTTTTATTTAACTACAAGCAATTTAAATGTTTTTTGTGCATTTTTAACAATTTCTGATCAAATAGAGATGACACTAATCACAATTAAATAAATCTGGTAAACAAAAAGCAAATGTAAGGTAAATTATAACAGCTTAAATGAACATGTATAGATGTATTGTTAGAGATGTTAGTCTCAAAGGTGCCACAGGACCCTCTGTTGCTTTTTACAGATTCAGACTAACAGGGCTACCCCTCTGATGTATAGATGTAGCCTATCCTCCTGGCTTGCAAAGAGAAGCACCAAATGTAGCATATGTAATTTAATTCCTATATATTTAATGGTTATATTTAGTTGCAAATCAACCTCTTTAGGAAAATAACTCAATTGCAAAACAATTAAAATTATTGAAATCAAGGTTTCCTTCTTGAATTAAAGTGTGATTAAAATCATTCACTGGTTTAAAGCAAAGCAATTGCAAACACCCCTGCCAAAAAAACTCAAGATGAGAGTTAAATGAGGGGTTTTCAAACTGCAGCTCAGGACCCCTCAGGCGGTCACGAGCTGTCAGCCTCCATCCCAAACCCTGCTTTGCCACCAGCATTTATAATGGTGTTAAATATATTAATAAGTGTTTTTAATTTATAAGTGGGGTTGCACTCAGAGGTTTGCTAATGTGAAAGGGGTCACCAGTAGGAAAGTCTGAACCACCGCACTGATGTATTGTTGCTTGCTGGGGATGTCTCAAAGATCACTTTAAAACAAAATGTTGTCATTGTGCATAGCCGAAAATGTAAAACAGTGCTGCAAACTCTTTTTTTTTTTTTTTTTTTCAAGCTATCTGAGAGCTAGATGCCCTCGAGCAAAATCTGACAACGCTGCGTTGTGCTGTTATAAACGAACATTTAACAGTCACAACGGCCCCAGGGAGGCAGGTATCCCCCATCCCCAGTTTACGGATGAAGACCATGACGCACAGGGAGGGTAAGTGATCTGTCCAAGCCCCTACAGGGGCCGCGCGAGAAGGGGCTCGCTCCCCCTCCTAGCAAAGCCGGTGCAGGGAGGGAGGCTCTCGCCCAGCAGGGAGGAGAGTAAAGGGGCGGGGGGGGGGGTTGCAAACTGCAGGGCTGCCAGAGGGGCAGCTCGTCGCCCTACCCACTGACCTTCTTCTGGTACCAGGCGATGGCATCTCTGCCACGTGCGGCCATCGGGCTCCTCAGCCACCGCCGGACGAGTGACCTAGAAGGGAGCAGGGCAGAGCGCTGCCCTCACACAGGCCGGGCCCGCGGGCTCCGACTCGCGGAGGGGGACCAGGCCGGGAGGACAGGGACCCGGCTGCACCTGGCGCCGGAGCCACCCCTGGGGCGGGCAGAGCCCAGTCCCGAAACCGCCCGAGGCCGCGGCCACCGGCCTCCCGGCCCGCGACACCATCCCGCGTTTCCCGGGGGGTGGGAATGACCTTCCCACCCGGCCCCCACGCCAGCTCCCCGGCCCCCACGCCAACTGCTCGCCCCAGTCCCCCGCCCCCTCGCCAACCGTTCGCCCCTCCCCCACCACGGCCCCTCGCCCCCTCCCCGCCAACCGCTCGCCCCCACCACAGGCCCCCGCCCCTCCCATCGCTTCCCAGCCCCGCCTCACAAGGGCAGGCCCGACTCCCGTCTAGCCCCCTCGCGGCCCCTCCTTACCCCCCAGCCTAGCTCCGGCCTCGCCCCACGCGCTGCCCGGCGCGCTCCCTCCGAGGCTGAAGGTTACCATGGAGACAGGAGAGCGCCCGAGCCCGGATTGGAAAACGGCACTCGACTGCCTCTGCCTGGCTCTCCCACGGCCCCGCAGCTCCCCTCGAGCTGCGTCACCGAACGCGCTGGGCCGCAGAGGAGGGGGCGCAGACAGCACCAGCCGAACGCCGATGTCGGCTGTCTGCCCAGAACGCTGCCCGCCCCTGGAGAGCGGCCGCGCGGCCCCAACTCACCTTCGTGGTGGGCGGGGGCCCCGGCCGGGGCGGCCATAGACCCCAGCACCATCGCCCCAGGGCCGCAGTGACTTAGCCCCGCCCCCAACGCCCGGCGTGGCCAACCACCGGCCGGGGCGGAGCGCGAGGGGCCGGCCTGCCGCTTCCTCCGGGCAGCGACTTCCCGCCCCGCGGCTGTTTCCCTCTCGCCCCGGGTCGCCTCTCGCCCGCTCCCCATTCGCTGGGCGCTGCGGGACGTACCGGTCCTGCTGCCCTCCCTGCTGGGCCTCGCGCCTGCGCCGCCAGCTCCAGCAGCCGGGGGAGGCCCCAGCGCAGGGACCTTCCGGCCCAGCTCCCCCCCATGAGGCCCGGCTGCTGGCTGGGACCAGCTGTCGAAGGCCGGGGGAACGTGGGGCAGGAACTAGCTAGTGGCTGCTCAAGACAATCCCCTGCCCTTGCCCGGGTCACGGGACATGTTCATAAGCGGTGGGTTATTTGAAAAACTGGATACAAAATAAAGGGGCAGGAATTTATCACTCCTTGATTGATCTGTTCGCTCAGGAGCGGTTCTTTGAGGTCTGCTGGGAGGAGATGGGGGCTGCAGCAGGGGAGAAATCCCCAGTAGAAGCAGCTGCCGAAGCAGTTCACTGGTACCTCCAAGTGCTCCCCTTCCTAGAGTGCGGGGCCCACAGGGAAGGGGAAGCACCTGCAGTAAAAGGGGATCCTCGGTTTGTTCCTGGGGAAAAGGAGGGGGCAGAGGGGACTAAACCCACAGAGGGCCCAAGGAAGTGTTACTTATGTGACAAAGTGATGCCCTATGTCTGGGGGGGATCCAAATACCCTCCCTGAGCTGTCCAGATGAAAACAGCTCCCTTCCAATCAAAGACTTCAGTGGTGGCAGCCAGAGTTCTAGTTAATTTTGGCAGGTCTGACCTCATGGACCCAGACCAAGAGTTTATAAAAAAGGCCAAGGTAAATGGTAGCGTGTGCCAGGGCTGGCGAGACACTGGGGCACATATTAGGAAGCACTATTTCACTAGGAGGGTGGTGAAGCACTGAAATGGGTTACCTAGAGTTGGACTAGATCAGTGGTCTCCAAACTTTTTTGATCGTGCACCCCTATTAGTAAAAAATTTTTGAGCACGCCCCCCCCTGCCGCGCCGAAGCAAAAAAACCCCAAAACAAACAAAACTTGGATTCCCACCCGAACTGCCTAAGCAAAAAAACAAAAAAAAAAAAAAAAAACCGACTCAGACTCCCGCCTAAACTGCCAAAGCAAAAAAAAAAAAAAGCACTCCTCCTGCCTCGCACCCCCAAGGATCCTCTTGTGCACCCCACTTTGGAGACCACTGGACTAGATGGCCTCCTGAGGTCTCTTCCAGCCCTAATCTTCTGTGATTCTATGTGCAGGGTAAAACAATTGAAATCTGCCCCATACCATCCAGAGATCAGCAGTTTAGTTGAGAGGTTCATCAGGACTCTAAAATCCATGTTCAACAGGAACAGATGCAAACAAGAGGGTGAGTGACTTGGATGTAATGTTCCCCTGTCTATTTGCTTACCCTGGAGTGCCCCATTTCATTTCCTGGGTGGGAGAAAAGTCAGAGGGCCCCTGGATCTCACTGGAGAGTCCCTGGAGGGTGGCTCTGAGGCAGAGGAGGAGTTTATGACTGAACTTGTGCAAAAGTTTGGGGCAGGGCCGGCTTTAGGCCTATTGCCCTGAATCAGGCCCCGCGCCCTAAAGAAGAGTGCCTAACGTAGGCGCCTTTTTAATTTTTACTCACTCGGCGGTGCTCCGGGTCTTCGGCGGCACTTTGGCAGCGGGTCCTTCAGTGCCACCGAAAACCCGTAGCAAGTGAAGGACCCGCTGCCGAAGTGCCACCGAAGACCCGGAGCGCCGCCGGGTGAGGCATCCCTGCCGGGGCCCCGTCTAAACTATCTGAATCGGACTCCGCACTTCCTAAAGCCGGCCCTGGTTTGGGGAAGCTTTAAAGACTATGATGGGAATAGTTCAGGAAATTCTCACAAAGAGCCAAGCTGCTCAGATAGCCTGGTGTGTGAACGATCACTTGATGCGGGCAGGGGACTGGACTCGATGACCTCTCGAGGTCCCTTCCAGTCCTAGAATCTATGAATCTATGCAGGTGGCTTGGAGCTGTTGTTACTCCCTGTCAGGGCCGGCTCCAGGGTTTTAGCAGGGGGGGGGGGGAGCCGCAATCGCGCTCAGCGGCACTTCGGTGGCAGCTCCACTGCGCCGTTTCATTCTTCGGTAGCAATTCGGCGGCAGGTCCTTCCCTCCAAGAGGGACTGAGGGACTCGCTGCCGAATAGCTGAATGTGCCGCCCCTCTTCATCGGCCGCCCCAGGCACCTGCTTGCTGTGCTGGTGCCTGGAGCAGGCCCTGCTCCATGTAGAAAGGTACAAAACGCAGAACCCAGGCAGGAAGGTTGTGGAAGGGGTTACCCGATCTTAGACTGCACAAAGGTCCCGCATCAAGGTTGCTCCACAGACTGTTGATAAGCAGGTTAAAAGCAGATGACAATGGAGAAGCCATTATAAACATACCAGGCCGTGCAGAGGAGGATTCTCAGACTGCCCCTCTCACTGATTTGATGGCTGAATGCCGTAGCAACACTTCTCTCAAGAGTGCTGTGAATAGGGTGACCAGATGTCCCGATTTTATAGGGACAGTCCTGATTTTTGGGTCTTTTTCTTATATAGGCTCCTATTACCCCCCACCCCCTGTCCAGATTTTTCACACTTGCTGTCTGGTCACCCTAGCTGTGAAGAGTATGTGACGCGTTAAGCCCAGTGGAAAAGGCAGAGGTTATGAGCATGCGGCAGCTGCCCCCACTGAAATCTTTGATTGGAGGGGAGCTGCTTTCACCTTAGGGTGACCAGATGTCCCGATTTTATAGGGACAGTCCCAATATTTGGGGCTTTGTCTTATATAGGCTCCTATTACCCCCCACAATGTGTCCCGATTTTTCACACTTGCTGTCTGGTCACCCTATTTCATCTGGACAGCTCAGGGAGGGTATTTGGATCCCCCCAGCCATAGGGCATCACTTTGTCACATAAGTAACACTTCCGTGGGCCCTGTGTGGGTTTAGTCCCCTCTGCCCCCTCCTTTTCCCCAGGAACAAACCGAGGATCCCCTTTTACTGCAGGCGCTTCCCCTTCCCTGTGGGCCCCGCACTCTAGGAAGGGGAGCACTTGGAGGTACCAGTGACCTGCTTCGGCAGCTGCTTCTACTGGGGATTTCTCCCCTGCTGCAGCCCCCATCTCCTCCCAGCAGACCTCAAAGAACCGCTCCTGAGCGAACAGATCCAGTTTTTCAAATAACCCACCGCTTAGGAACATGTCCCGTGACCTGGGCCAGGGCAGGGGATTGTCTCCAGCAGCCTCTGGCCAGTCCCTGCCCCACGTTCCCTCGCCCCGCGGCAGATGGTCCCAGCCAGCAGCCGGGCCTCACGGGGGCAGCTGGGCCCCCCCACGGCTGCTGGCGCTGGCGGCGCAGGGGCGGGGCCCTTGGAGGGCGGGGAGGGGCTGGAGCCGGCGCGTCCCGCAGCGCCCAGCGAGTGGGGCGGGGCCTTCCCGGGCCAGCCCGGCCCCCTGGGTCCCAGCCCGGCCCGTGCGCGGGGCGTGTCCCAGCTGCAGCCCCGGGCGGGGAGCGGGCAGAGAAGTCGCTGCCCGGCTGGAGGAAGCGGCCGGAGCCGGAGCCGAGGCCGAGTCCGGCGATGGCTGCAGCGGGGCCGGCGCAGGTAGGACGCGGGGCGGGGACTCCCCGGCCGGGCACTGGCTGGTCCCGGCTGGGCGCCGAGGGGGGCCGGACCCGGGTCTCTCCCGCGCTAGTGACCCCGGGGCTGGGGGCGGCGCTGCCCCGGGGCAGGGAGCGGCAGGGCCCGGGGTCCCGCTTTGCACCAGCGCAGCCCGGACCGGGGGCTGCAGCAGCCGGAGCGCTGGGGCCGGGGAGCGGCTCGGGGGTCCCTGGGCGCTTCCCGGGGGCTAGGCAGGGGAGGGTCCTGTGGCAGGACGGACCTTAGGGAAAATGGCCCCGCGCAGGGTGGGGAGCGGGAGCGGGGGAGATGCGGCGAGAGACGGGGGCACCAGCCGCGGGGCGGGAAGTCGCTGCCCAGAGGAAGCAGTTGGAGCCGGAGCCGAGCCCGGCGATGGCTGCAGCGGGGCCGGCGCAGGTAGGACGCGGGGCGGGGACTCCCCGGCTGGGCACTGGTCCCTCCCGCGATAGTGACCCCGGGGCTGGGGGCTGCAGCATCTCCCGGCGGTGGCGCTGACCCCTATCCGCTCCCTCCCACTTCCTGCCCCCCAACTCCCGCCCCATCCAACCCCCCCCCCCCGCCTTTACCATGCTGCTCAGAGTAGCAGGACTGGCAGCCCCCCCCCGGGCCCAAGCTAGCCACTCTGCTGCGCTGCCCAGCAGGAGCACACAGCCCCCCTGCCCACGGCGCTGGCGGCAGGGCGAGCCGAGGCTGCGGGGGACGGGGGCTCAAGGGCCGTAGTTTGCCCACCTCTGTTCTAGAGAGTCAGCTGAGGTTTTTTTGTTTTTTCAGAAAGATAGTGAGCATTGCTGGCACACGATGGCATATCGCATTGGTAGATGTGCAGGTGAACGAGCCCCGGATGGTGTGGCTGATGTGATTAGGTCCTATTATGGATTCATTCCAAAACCAGTCGGAGAACACTTCAATCTCTCTGGTCGCTCAATAACAGACCTCAAAGTGGCAATTCTACAACAACAAAACTTCAAAAACAGATTCCAACCTGAAGCTGCAGAACTGGAATTAATTTGCAAACTAGATACCATCAGATTAGACCTGAATAAGGACTGGGAGTGGTTGGGTCATTACAAAACCTAAACTTAAGTTCCCTAATACTAATTTCTCCCTACTGTTACTCACCCCTTCTTGTCAACTGTCTGTAATGGACCACTCTCTTACCACTTCAAAAGTTATTTTTCTTCCCTTGGTATCCTGCTGTTAATTGATTTATCTCCTTAGACTGACCTAACACTCGATAAAGCAGCCACCATCCTTTCATGTATTTCTACCTGCTCCTGTATTTTTTACTTCATTCATCTGATGAAGTGGGTTCTAGCCCAGGAAAGCTTATGCCCAAATACATGTGTTAGTCTCTAAGGTGCCATAAGGACTCCTCGTTTTTTATAAACTGAGTTGTGTCACTAGCATTCTTAACAGCCTCATTCAGTTCTTCTAAAATTGGCTTTGACAGGGACAGGCTTATAAGGCTTTCTGCATGTTGATGCAGTCCAGAGGCATGGCGTTTTGCAGCCTTTTCATATAGGTTGTCAGTATTGGCTTGGCCTTAGTTGATCAGTCTGGCAAACCAAGCTCCTCCACTTTTATTATATAAATCCATGGTATGCCCACATCTTGAATACTGCGTGCGGTTCTGATCATTCCCTCTGAAACACCTGGAATAGTCATGGTCATAAGACAGGATACTGGGATAGATGGACCGTTGGTCTGACCCAATAATGCCGTTCTTACATAAAAATAATTATAATAATAAAGTTTAGTATAGAAACTCCCCAAGATAATGACCTCTTGAGATCGTGATGATGTGAGATAATGACCTTGGCAAATAATGCATTTTAAAAATCTTGGTCTACTACGAAACATATATTTATATAAGTTTCCCAGTCACAAATCTAGCATTCTGTAGCGAAGTCACTAAAACATAGTCCAATGCTCTGGCGGCTGTTGTTTGTCGTGCCACCGTTCACTCTGCCGCTCCGTCCCCAATGGCCCTGCACTGTCACCTTCTGCTGCCACTGACCTCTGCGAGTCCGTCTCTTGCGGTTCCACCCGGCTCTCAGTGATTTGATCTCTCGGGAGGGACGGGGGGGGGGGAAACGTCGCTGCTAGTGCAGGCTGGGCTGTCTCTTCCACAGAAATACTGTCCCACAGCAGGTCTAAGCACTTAGATTTCAGCTCTAGTGGTCACTTATGAAGCCCAATCAGCTCTCTCTCTAAACAGCAGAGGGGGCAAGTCAAAGAGTGCCTGTGACTCTTAGAGCCTACACCACCAAGCAAAACACCTGTGCCCCACCCTCTCTCTCTCCACTAGGATCTGGCATCCAAACCTCCTGCTTAGGGAGTGCAGCTCAGTTGAAGATGACCAGTGCTTAATTTGTAATGAAAGAAGTGCTGGGGCTCAAGCAAGTTTGTTATTTTCATAAGTGATGTGGGAAGCCCAGAGGTCCCAGGGCTATGAACTGCCCAGGGGCCTCAGCCCTGGCAAGCCCTAGCACAAATGAAGCACTGAGGGAGACCCCCTCATTCAGGCAGGCTAAGCACAGTTCTGCTGCCCTTTACTCCTACGATAAGGATAACAACATTTCATGACCCCCACAGTTAATACTTAAGTGATTTGTAACCAACACCAGCCAAAATTGATCACTTGGGCAGCACAGCTCTTTCTGCCGGATATCTAGGCAGAGTAGGTGAGTTCATGTAAATACAGTCTGGTCCTGAAGCCTTCGCCCCACCCCTGTGCGACGAACTGGGACTCTTTGAATGCTGAGTGGGGAGTGTTGGTTGGGAAGGCAGGGGAGTGTGGCTAAGATGGTCTGCATGGGGGGATGGGAGACTGGCCTTAAGGGAGAATACCTGAGCATGTAACATGAGAACCCAGGATGGGGTTAGAGGCCAGGTGACACCTTTGCCTGGGAAACTGAACAAAGGCTGGGGAGGAGGACGCTGGGGGAGAGAGAGTTTTCAGGTGCTGGCTGGTAATGGAGGGAGCCCGGACGGGGCTCTGCCCCCACCCCAATGGGCCTGTGGTGCCCCTGGGACCCCAAGATGGACCTAACTGAGGGGGGTCCTGTTGTCTGTACCTGCAAGACCTGTCTTGGACCGTGTTCCTGTCATCTAAATAAACCTTCTGCTTTACTGGCTGGCTGAGAGTCATGGTGAATCGCAGGAAGCCGGGGGTGCAGGGCCTTGTGTCCCCGCACACTCCGTGACACCCTGGCTCATCGCTAGCTATCGGGGAGAGCTCATTCATACCTTGCTTACAAATCATCATTTGAAATTATGAGGTAGGCCAATATAGCCGAAACAAATGCGCTGACATTGTCCTAAATAACAACTGTGTGAGGAAGCTAGTCTTGTTTCATACTTTTAAGCCCATTATGCTTTCTCAGGTACAAGTACTTTCTCATACACTGTGTATGCTTTTAAAGTGTGTATTAATGTTTCAATTTCAATTCAAATTTCCAACCAACGACTAAATTGGCAACACTGCATGTAACTGGGGGTGTGTTGGGGGAAATTCAGGGGGGGCCTAGGGAAATCCCTGCCCTGAGGTCCGTGGGGGAGCTAGGTGGGGTGGTGGAGTCTCCCTGGGTCACAGCTGCTGGGCCGGGGGTTCCCTGGGAGTCGCTCCCCTAGAAACCGCGTCCCCTGCTGAGACTCCGGGCTGGGGCTGGAGCGGAAGGTGCTGAGTGTGTAACGCTTGTGCCAGCAGCTCCAGGTGGCGTTTGAGGACGTCGCTCTGTATTTCTCCCAGGAGGAGTGGGAGCTCTTAACCCGGCCAGAGAAGCAGCTGTACCAGGACCAGATGCTGAGGAATTACCAGGCCCTCGTTTCCCTGGGTAAGGACCTATTTATCTTTACTCACAGCTGTGAAATGTCTGGGTTCCCTTGACGCCTCAGCTGCCATGCGCCACCCAGCAGCCAAGTGGTGGCAAATGTCAGCAGCTTTCAGAGCCTCAGGCTAATGTTAATGTAACCTGTTGACTTGCGTTATGTATCTCAGTCCTGGCACAGAGGTGGTTGCAAACAGCACATGAGCAACAACCTCTTCCAGGAATCCCAGCCCAGACACCAATGGCAGCAACTCTGCCTCAAGAACTGACTATAGTTAGACAAATAAGGCAGGGAGAAAATCCTCCTGCAGCACCTCCCTCCCCCCTCCCAAAAAAAGAATGAACATCATACGTTTAACAGCCGCACAGTTGAACAAATCTTGCACCCTATGCAAAAGAACTTATAGGCCTGTGTAACTGTGATGCCTGCCATGACTCAACCCCCACAGCAAATTGAGAAGGGTCATAGACGTTGCTGCTTCAGAATATGAACTGAACTTGCCTGGTGGGAGACGGGACAAAATCTCCTCTAAGAAAGTTCAAATTCATTATTCTCCTGCTTGGGATCTCTTGCGTTTCCTCTCAAGCAGCGTCTGAGATTGGGGCCTCGTTGTTCCAGGTGCTGCGCAGACAAACACTGACCGAGGTCGGGGCCCTGTTGTGCTGGGCTGCACCAACATATAAATGAGTCCCTGCCTCCAAAACTTTAGTAATAAAACAGATTCTTTCTCCCCAAACAGGCTGTTCAGGTTCTACACCGGACTTAATCCACCGGATCGAGCTAGGGGAGGCAGAGCTCTGGATCTGGGATGCCGAGAACTCCAGGGAAAGCTCAGGGTCTGAAAGCCTGTCCTCGGGTGAGTCATAATAATCCAATCCCTTCTGATTTACACACCTGCTAGTGGAGGGCTCCTTAATGTAAAAGGCAAAGGCAGAGTGAGATCCACTGGCTGGGAACACAAGCAAGACAAACTGACACTAGGATTTAGGGGCCAGTGTTTATCTGGGAGAGGAATGATCCATTGAGAGAGCTCCCCTCGGAAGAGGGTGGATTCTCCATTACTGTGAGTCTGTCAATGGAGACGGGGCGTCTCTTTCTCCAAGCCCTGCTCTAAGGCCTGGTCTACACTACGACTTTAATTCGGATTTAGCAGCGTTAATTTGAATTAACCCTGCACCCGTCCACACAATGACGCCATTTAATTCGAAATAAAGGGCTTGTAGGGACGCATAGCTCCCGAATCGCTAGCCCACAGGCGCGGCAAACTGCTCCCATGGCTACGAGGCAGGAGTG